AGAAAGTATTTTAAAAAGCAGAGAAAAGTATTAGAACAAGAAAAAATAGCCGTGAAAAACTTGAGAAAAAAATGAGCGCTATAAGGGTAGCTTTAAAAAAGATTTTTAATTCTATGTCTGTCTGATACAAATTTTACTGTACTGCGAATAAGATGTGTATCCAGTATATTCAGAATATCAAGTATAAAGATATACAGTACAGGGTCTAAAATTCTTTTTGCCCGGATGGTTTTTGTATACCAAGCTTTTAGGAACCATATTTTATATGGCCTTACGCCATCGCGAAAGCTTTACTTCGCGTGCAAAATAAATTTCTGTATTGCGACAGTGTCCTTGTAGCCACCCTATATGTGTATACGCACATATATATGTATATATATATATACATATATTAGCGGACGTGCCTAAGTATCTTAATAAAAATGTATGTTACGACTATACAGTCTAAGATTTATTATGAAAAATATAACGACCCTGGTAACGAAATAAATCAGTATTTACTATCGTGTAAGTAATAAATATGTTTTGGTTTTACGTAAAAATTTTTAACGTTCAATCGTTCTTCATTCGTTACCCAGTTTACAGTTGAATGCAATCAATATAAATGACCAATATCAATAAAAAATATACAATCACGCTTGACTTTAATAACTTGATATGAATAAATGGTATGTCGTTATTGCTTATATAATTTTCGTAAAAATAATTTTTTTTAACGAATTTCGGGTGAAATTCAAACTTGAATGTCGCTTTCTTTCTCGTGGGCGTGCGCAAAGACGAACTTTAATTAGTTGCCATAATTATTTAAAAGCGGCAATTATAAAGTCTTTAGATTCACGGGAAGAAAAATATGATGCGAAACTTCAGGGCTAAATATATATACGTATAGTTATTAAAGTTGCGAAAGTCTCCGCGTGGTAAGAGAGTAAAAACTTGTAATATATGCAGCGAATCTTTTTGTCACTGTAAGAGTAAAAATTCTCTATAGGCATAATATATACACAATGCCATTCGCTTACGCGGGCCAGAAGTATGCTAACCATAAGAAAAAATTGCGCGTCACTATCACGGCTGCCTATATAAATACGTAAATATATGCATATCTTCGTAAGACTTAAAAAAATGGACGTGAGCCATAGGGATGGTTTTTACAATTTTTTGTTCCTACTATATCGTAAATGTTGTCGCGTGGGAAAGACGAAGAGAATAAATTTTAAAAAAATATTACACTTCGTATAAAAAATATATAATTTGTATAGTATCTGCGCATGCGCAAGTTTACATCAATCAATTCGAATTATCCTGTTCGTTTAATTTCTACGATAGAATCAACTTCAGATATATTACTCCTGAATGCTGTAATGTTTCGTTAGAAAATTGAGAAACGGTGAAAAAGTCAATATTTGTAAATTTCATTTGTGGTTAAAATACGCCAGTATACCGGCGACTATAAAAATTACCTAAAAATAAATGTTTAAATGACGTCAAGACATACGTAATGGTCATCTTCGTCAGAAAGAGTGCCGACGAAGTAAACACATGTGATTGGTGAAATTTAACAATTTTGTAAACTTTCCAATGATTTGACCAATCAAATGCGTTAGCTTCCGCGGCCCTGTTACTGCTGCAAGTATCCAATGTTAAAGTACCGTTCACAGTAAATAAATCATCAACGCCGTAAGACACAGATACAGATACCTCCATCGGGACTGTAGAAAGTCAGGAAGATTTTTCCGTAAGAAAAACATGAATTCCTTAGAATTCTAAAAAAAAATTTCAAAGTTTTTATTCCGCGCGAGATAGATATAAAGTGAGCCGTCACTTTTACGGGACCCACCAGGCACATACCGTCTTATATGATTTATTACTCGTCAATACTTCACTTCCGGTAAGATTCGAATTTTAAAAATGTTGAGCAATTTTAAAAATTTTCTTTTCCCAAGGTGTATCATTCCCTCGAACTCAGCCATCATTTTAATCTATGGCTATTATCGCCACTTGTCAAAGGATAGTCCAGAAGAGTAATTGGTCTTTAATTGGAAAGAACCCTTAGTCCTCGCCTAGGGATAGGGATGGGATATATCTGTCTGGCCATACAGTGAAACTGACTATGTATGGTCGGACTGTTCTATAACCTCATGCCAGTAGAACAGTCTTGTTCTATACAGACTACCCGGTTGAGAGTGATTCTTGCAAGAAAACCGTGCTGTAGATACGCAGCAGGCTGAAGTGGAGAAGTCTGATGTATTAGCCTCATAGGAGAAAATACTTTTCCAATATACCACAGAACGTCCTTCGTGGCGGTAGCTGATCAATAACAAACTTTTATCTGGCTGTGAGCCACTGATTCCTTTGTGTCCGCGGAATAGTGTGGCTCAAATAAAACCACTGTGCCGTGGAGCCAATACGTGCACGCTGTTACGGCAAAAGCCAATGAATCGCGAAGACCGAATGTTTAACGATTTCCGACACGATAAATATCGGAAACAAGTTAATGTTGAAATAAGTGAAACTACGAAAGTGGATATTAGCGAAGGCCGAATTCTTTTGGAATTGGTATAGAAAACCAAACTTGTAGATACGAAGGATTTCGGTAAAACTATTTCGAGATTGCTTAGGATTTTAAGTGCAGGGGAAAATAGAATTTTCAAAAATATTAATTTTTAAAAATTCTTATTGCACCTTTAATTTAAAAATTTATTTAAAATTGAATATTTAGATATTGCTTGTCTCGAGGAAAATCTTTTTTAAAAGGTAATTCGATTTTTTAATACAATAGGATATATGTAATAAGGTATTGTACAACTGTTATAATAGATTGATCGATCACCCCCTGTATGAATAATGGAATGTATTGTTAAAACTGAATGGGAAAGTTATTACTCGTTCTTTTGAAAATTTAATAAAATCATGACGCACTATTTAGTTTAAACATCATTTATCAACGGTCAGAATTTTGTATCCACATTTTGAAATCAATAACAAACAGGCCACAGTAATATATCTATATACGATATTGACTGTGAAACTCTGAAATTCTAAAAAAAAGATTTTTATACGAAGCTCACTGCAGCGTAACAATGTCCACCAGAAAGCTATCGAATACCGCAATATCCAAATTGATCAATCAAACCTTTTCGTACCCTCTGTCATTTGCCAAACGAATCGAACCGAACTCAATTTAAGCAATAAACCCACTGCAATACCCACTACGATCGAATTCACCCTAAGTTTTATTCTCAAATATTTATGCAATGCTGATAATTTTCAACGATAACGAATATTGTCCTTTTTACCCAGTTTTCATCAAAATAATTAAGAATACTTTTACAATTTTTTCACAATATACGAAAACGGTATTTAGTAAATACCTTAAGTTTTGCAATTTTTCTTTTTCAGTATATTAATCCCCTTTTCGTTCTATTCTATAATACTTCAATAGTATTTACCCTGAATATACCGGGGCAACCCTCAAGGAGGTTGAATTCGTTTCACGTCCTGGACGTCAAATTGAAGTATCGTTAGAAAAATATTTGTTGAGGAGACAATAGAGTACATATAGCTACATATACAGATAGCAATCATACATCCATCACCCCCGAAGCGAATTTTCGTGAACAGAATTCCCATGGACGCGACCCCAAAAGCCTAACAGGTCGCGACGATATACGAGTAGCCTAGAAATCTCAAGGGAGTTGAAACAACCTTGAAACTCGCCGAAGCAGAGGGGTTGTAAGAAAAGGAGAAACCCACCCGCCTTTAGGAGCTTTCCCGACCCCTATGCGTGACTACAAAGTGTTTTTCTCTCATATCTCTGCGGTATACATGTACTACATCCTACCCTCTAGTGTTTTCAGCATTCCGGGATACGAAAGTGAATTTTCATAAACGACAATTCTACGCTTATTACGACCGTCTCAGAACGTACGGAAACATTTTTCCCACTCAGAACTTCAATATGGATTGTTGGTAAATTCAAAAATGTCATTTTAATTTCGTATTTCCCGCGTAAGCTTATTTCCTTTAAATATACAAATTATATTACTCGCTACGAAACGTCGATCCGCTATCGTGGAAATGACTGTCAAGAATCATCGATGCGTCAAATTGTTACGCGAGTCACTAATTGATAATCGTATGGCTAATAAGGGGCTTCAACGATCTGTTACACGCTTACTGCTTTCATGTCTGATATTGATCGTTTTGATATTGCACCATTCCGATTGTCTATTTTCGCAAAATTCTACACGACCCACCCGTAACGTAACATCGAAGCAATTTTACATATCTGCTCAATTTTGAAAATAATAAATTCGTAAAAGTATCTTTGAACTGTGAAAAATAATATTAACATTAATATTTTATAACATAATACATTATAATATTAACTCCAAAGGGTACAGAGATCAAGGTGAAACATCCTATAAGCGACTGGTAGATTCCTTCAAGAGAAAATAAGGGCTGGTTGCGTAGATATTTCAAAGAGAAAAACAAGCTGCGTAAAAGCAAAGTCGAGTAGCCAATAAATCATAAATACTACGAGGTTACTAGAGCAAGTCTTCGGATCACGTGAGAAAGTGGGATCATGTAAAACTACACTCAATAGTATAGAAAACCGTTTCGAACCATGCTCGACCAGGTCGACGTATACCTAACCTCTTTATCGACGCTGTTCAGAAATATACAGATATCAAACTAAGGGTACACGACGACACATATATATGTATACATTATACGTATAAAGGTTTGAAATGGTTCCCAGATGCAAAATGAACCTCCGAAATAATTGAATCCCCATTGGAAACGAGGTTGAATTTCGTTGTCTGACAAAAAAAAGTTCAAAAGAGAAAAAGGGTTCAACTACTAGGTTCAGTGTTTAACTAGTTAATTTCCAAACTGTACATAACAATAGTTCAATTTAAGAAATCTCGTTATTAAATAATTTTTCTCTATTTTATATACATTTTTGTAATATTCAATTTGGCTTTATAACGTTACAGTCGTTCCGCCAGTCATCAACTGTCAGCCACTGCCCTACTTGGCAGCCCCGATGGCTCGAGACATCCTCTCGACCTGTACGAATTCGCCGAAGAGGATTACCGGCATCATAACGGAAGTGGAAGTGGCCACTATCATAATGGAAGATCCGGTACCGGATTATGGGAGTGTCTCGTTGGATGCAGGCATCGGCTTGATCAGCAGTTGGCCAGAAGAAGAGTGAGTGTACAGTCCTTTCCTAGTAATTAAATTTATTAATTGTTCCTTCTGGTACTTTTACCTTTTGCAAGGCAGTCCTAAGTCGCTTGAGACATCCTTTTCCATCAGGGCACGTAGATACTCACTATCTAGCTTATTTTGAGGTTAATTCAATTTATGAGAACGTCTGCCAATTCCAAACGAAATAATAGTTATTCTTTTTCTTATCTTTATTCTATCCTCGTGGACCTTCTGTTCTCATAAGCGTTTCTTTAGGGTATTTCTTGAGTAGCTCTCTGTCCCTTCGAATTCTACTTCAGCCTGGAGAGTTCCCTGAGAATCCAACAACGTCGCTTTTAGATGTTCATATTTTCCTTTTATGACATATGGAAGACTTAAAGTCATATATAAAAGGTACAGTAGAGAGAAAAACGTATCATCGTTATCATTCTTATTTTTAATATCATTATCAGCATTTTGGATTTTAATTATTATGTCGAAGAATGAGAGAGGGGAATTTTTTTCTACCTAAAACGAAATCCACTTCGATTTTATATTCAACAGCTCTCATAGGACTTGGGTCAGTGATCATATAAAGGAATGTTTAGAGTCAATAAAATGTGACTATAAAAAGTGCTGGTCGATTCAATGGAAACACAATTCCCCTTAAGATTATATCTGTTATCAATCTACGAATTAACATTATAAATATTTTGAGAAGATCACTAAAAAAAGCTCTCCTGTTTCGAATTTCTTCCGTATATCCTTGTACGTTGATCCTTCTCTTAAAATCCTTGGCAAAATTTAGTTCGTCTTTAGAACTTGTTCCTTTGATATGAAATTTTTCGTATTGATAAAGCCACCACGGGTGTTACGTCTCAAAGCCGTTATTACACAGCCTCGGAAATTAACAAAGGCTCTGAATCATCGTCATCCTGTCTTGTTCAATATGTACACAGCTGCCTTCGCCTTCGTCTACTTGTATTTCGTTGGGGTCTGTGAGCATCCTGTGGGATTATTCGACAGATGAAAAAGATGGGACAGAAACACAATGATTTTTGTACATTGCACAAATTACGCATTTTCGTTACAGTCCTTCCATAGTCTATAACACTGTCCTATCTACTGATTAGAAACACAAGCTTTAACATAAGGGCCTGTATTCAATGGATCGTGGGAAATAGCAAAGGCTACACCGTTTAAAAATTCTGTAAACATCAGTAGACAATGTTGCTGTAACTTTTCAAATGTTTAAGTTAAATAAATCAAGTTGAATGATGCACAAAAGAGACTGCAATTACTTTTACTAGCCACTGTCATTAAGAATAAATGATATTTGTTCACGGTTAACTAAGCGCTGCTTTGAAGTTTCTTGTTCTTATCGGAAATTGAAATCAGCCAATAGCGACCTTACGTAATTGGTTCATACACTTCACGGAGGCTCCTCTTGTAATTGACTTTGAGACTCTTATAAAATGTACCAGCTTCATTTTCGTCGAATGGATAGATTTGCAAATGGCTGACATGGATTCTTAAAGCTACTCAAATATTTGTTTTAACCCCTGAAAACTGTATCGAAGTCTTTACCTTGTGCAACACGAGGACAAGCACTGGGTGAAATCCCACAGTGTCCACAGAACTTTGTAAATGAAAAATTAGCGTACATTTTCAAGATTTGTGTGATCGCTTTGCTCTGTCAATTAACGGGAAACGGAATAATTCATCTAAAAAAGAAAAAAAAAAGAACATGAATAAATGGATGTTGTAAGATAAATAATTTAACAAAGTTGAACTTTCGCAAATGCGATTACTCGAACTGCTTGAAAAGTCAACGAAAACAAGCCGAGAAAACAGTCGAAAGTAAATTTAACATAAATTGTATTATATTTAAAAAAAACAGTTTTTCATACTCTCACTTCACGAAAACTTAAATCATTTGACCATCCGATTTTAAAATTTGAAAAATTAAAAAAATTGTCAAATCATTCGGAAAATTCATTTTTCACTGATACCAATATAGAAAAGCTTTGTCAGGATTTTCAATGTGACTCCATTCAAGAAAAGCGAGCTTTTTTAAAGACTGGAAGCTCCGTTCGAGCCCTTCTGTATTCCGGTCGGACGTGTTCCTTTCTTTTCCACTTCTTCCACCTCTTCTGCCTCAGCCTCCTTGAGCTGCTCAGTTCCACCGCAGTGTCCTCTATTTCACTCTGCGCGGCCACGTTCTTTCATCCGCAGAGTTTAACCAAGCCGTGAGGAAGAAGTTCCACGTGAAAGAGATGAATCCTTTCGTTTTAGTTAAGACTCCTCAAGCTATAGAAATAAGAAGCACTCTGACCTAACTTATGGAAGGGGTACTCATATATACGTATAGTATATGGAGGAAAAAATATTTTATTCTCACATTCGTGAACTTTATAAAAAATTTTTAAAATTGTCATTACATTTTTTGAAAGCGTAGCATAAAATCTATTCCGGTCCACGCATTTTTTTTTTTTTTTTTTTTTTTTTTTTTTTTTTTTTTTTTTTTTTTTTTTTTTTTTTTTTTTTTTTTTTTTTTTTTTTTTTTTTAGTATTCACGCCAAATAATTATCGCTACCCTGTCAACTGTTTATATCAAACATCAGAATACAGCTAACGATTTCTCAGATTATACGTAATACTCAATAACTATACGATTCAAGTTGAGAAACGATAATTTAGGAAAGTATAAAAACGTAAATTTTCATCTTTGTTATTGTTACCAATTTTATTGTCATCTTCAATTATCAAGTCGGTGTGAGGACCGACGACCCAGAAATTGCTTCTAGGAATTCGCGAAAAGTTTATCTTGAGTGAAGAATTGTGTTCGCTTTTTCAGGAAGTAGGAGGAAGTGAAATAAAAAGCATAAGAAAAATAAATAACAGGAAACAACTCTAAACGGTGTTACAGTGTGAGAGTTCTTTAGGACAGATCTGGCAAACCCTTGTGAAGTACCTCTTCCATGTGATAGAAGTTGTACCACGAGTGGATGACTATACTGAGAAGTTACATAAGTACGTATCTGGATTAAAGGTTAAACAAAGATAAAAAAATGATACCAAAGCGAATATTCTTAGTTAAGAAATTATTTGCCGATGAAAATTGCGTTGATAGAATTCAGGGGAAAAAGATATGAATTTTTTATTTCACAAGAACCAATATCGTACTGAATTGTGATTCTTATTGCTTCTTAACAATCTGTTAAATAAAATGTATTATTTTTTTCTATAATCCATTACAAGTCACAAACAAGTATCGTTTGGTCCAATTTGATTATACAATGGAAAAACTTTGATGAAAAAATATTTAACACCCCGGGCCTCAACGTAGCGATAGTTCAGCTTCTGAAAGTTTCTAAGTGACAGACAGTTAAACCCAACTCGAACAATTAATATAATTCATCCGCAGCTGTGGAACTGTTGACGGAAACAACGAGTGCTTTTGTAAATTACAGTAGATATTTAAGGGCAACCGCACAGTTACGTCAGTGTTCAGCTAAAGTGAAACGATAATTATGTCATACGAAAACAACAATGAATAGACAAAAGATTTAGATGTCCCAAAAAATCATAATATACCAAATGAGAATGAATTTCCGAATCGAAAGAAATATTGTCAAAAATCCATAACGAAAAAAAAAAAGTGCAAAATATATATTGACAGCAAAATCTATATGTCGCGAGGAATGTCCATTGTATGTAATTACTTTTTTATATAAAACTGTCTTCGACTATCAAGAACACGATTCAAAAATCAACGTAATATTGAAGGGTCCGTCGTAGAAGGAAATGACGTCAAAAGTCGTTTCCCAGTTCTGAGAATCCCTATAGGGCTCCCTTGTGTAGGCAAGGTGGGTTCGAGAGAGGGTCGGTCCGTGAGAATGGAGGTTGTCTTTTCATCCCTTACCGTCTCGAGCAAGAAGGTTGGGTTTGGTCCTTGACGCTGTGCTCTGAAATTGGGGCGTTTTTGCAGCACCGCAGTCCCTATTATACATGTATATATATATTTATATATCGTCAATAGCACCAACCCTCCCGTCAGTTCTCAATATTAACAGAAGACCCATCGAGATAGCAGGTAATCATTGCAATTACACGAGGGATGTATAATTTGTACATAAACCAAAGCGCCGTCTTGTTAAAGATAAGAGCCATATAATATCATCAGATATAACTCAAAAATATATTGTTACTGGCAAATAAATTTATACACACTAAAAAAGGAATAAAAATTAGGTAACCTATATTTTTCATATCTAACCAATAAAGTATATTTACATCGGATAAATTTACTAACGAAATATATATTGATAAATACCACCATATCACGTGTAACCATCGACCAGCAACCCTTATCCCATGAAACACCCTTATTCAGATATCGCATTCAATCGCAGAATTGATTTTCGTTTAGGTTATCGCGTGAATCTTTTCTGCACCATCGCCATCACGAAAGCAGTGAAAACTCATGTATCCCCGAAGATAAGTGGGGCTTCATACTCGCGCCATAGATAGATAAGAGATAAACGATAAGAACATGGCTGGATCTGGTGGTGTAATTTCAGGCCCCACTAGACAGCGCCACTCACGACCTTCTAGGTCCTAACCTATAAAATGGTCCTTGTGTTCATAGCCATTGTTCGCACGTCACGAGATCATACGAAGTCTCTCTCACGATATATAGTTTGCTATATCGAGTCTCGTTAATGTACTGCACGCCCAAGTACTCCTACACAGCTTACTTACCGTACTATACCGTATTATATAATATTCATAATACGATTCAATAATAAACTTCGTACACGAGGACAATGCACATTACGGTATATCCTTCGTAAGATTTAATCCTACTAATGAGAATTTTGCACTTGGATGACCACAAGGTCTCCCTTATGGATGCATCCTCATGTATCCAACCTCCACTCTCGTCCACGAAGTACACGAGATAAACACGTGCTACTCCGGCACCCTTGTTTTCATCATTATTATTTATCACCTTGAAGGTTCACGGTTGAATCGATCCTCTGGCCTTCCTCTGTGACATCCTCGTTGCCGAGGTTACCTTCGACGCGGTTTCTCGTGCGTGATAATGCCAGACGCGTGAATTCCACTCCGTCGACGAGAAACTACATGGAACTATTCTCTCAACTCAGCATCACATCCTCGGCTCACGCCACGTGCCACGTCCTCGTACCACAAATACCACAACCGTCGAACTATCCCATAAAGGACTTCACTATGTTAGGATTACCTTGGCCTCGAGAAAATTCCTCCCGGGACATTCATAATCGACCGACGACTACGATGTTACGTATATATATATAATGCTGCTAAACATGTATACTCAGCCTATTCAGATTATTCAGCCAAAACTCACCAGCTGAACGTGGTTCCACCAAAAGAGCCAAATGGACACACTAACTTCAGATGGTGCCTCGTGGGCTGAATCACTCGGTATATACGTCCTACTTAGCAAGGATTAGTCTTCGTCGTCGATCTTACGTTGTTTTTCCTACGAACCACGTTGACAGTTTCAAAATTCATGTCGGATCCTATTTTTTGTAATGATATATAATTAGGTTAATATTCACGTGTGAAAATCGTGAAAGACTGTATATTTATGATGGACAAAAATAACGTAGGATTATTTTTAATTTTCTTTTTAATATTCAAATTTTGGTTGTACCTTTTTATCTTTTTTATAAATAGCAGTAGCGTGCTGATTAATATTTTTGCAATTGGTGGTATATGGTGATCGTTTAATATTTTGAAAATTTCATTAGCGTTTCACAACAGCGGCTTCGGGTGTGCGATGAATGTTTTTGAAAAACTACGGTGCAGCAATGGTCACTTTGCGGATAACAATAGGGCGAAGTCTAACAATGCCGTGATATCAGGGAATCCTCGTATAAAGGGGAAAACTAAAAGCACCTTGGTAGATTTAATAGGATACTGTACGAGTGACTTCAGTAATGCTGACGATTATAACGACAGTCCACGTTTCGCATAAATGAGAATACCTCTTGAGTATCGCGTCGAATGGAAACCGCTATTGTGTCTGCACTATCTCATGTATTTTCCTATATATATAAATATACATACTATACGTAAATATACATTCTGGCTGTTGCAGCTAACTTCAAATTCAAAATCAGACGTGACAGCTGTTTCCCCTGACCTCAATTGACCGTGCATTTCGATCCACAATAAAATTTACGGAAATTCTTATAAAAATCAAGGATGTAAATAAAAAACTTTGCTAATTAATCCAAGCTAACGGTACGAGGAAGATTATTAAATTTTGTTCTTAGGTAAGTTACGTTCAATTGTACAGTTGCACTGTTACACCGTCCTACTTATTCACAAGATGACGTATATCACGAAGCAAGGACGGTACCAACCTAATTACATGATAAACCGTTCCTCTAGACTTTCAGGGAAAAACAGATTGTACAAGAGGAATCCTATTGTCTTGTTAGTACTAAATCAATACTCCGATACCAGGAAGCGACGTGTCATAAAACATCGACCTTATTTCAGTTCGTTTCCCACAAACAGTATGTTCACTACGTCACTAGCCATATAATCCTTCCGATCGTGAAAAGAAAAGACAATAGTACCAGGGACAGTTTGAGGAAGGATATTAAAGAAAAGGGAAGGCGGCAAGAGAGTACAGAGCGATATATTGACACATTAGCCAATCAGTAATCGATTTCTTGTACGTTTGTAATGTTACAGGTCGAGCAGGGCTTGAAGTTATATCGGGCCCATAAACAACAGGCGGCCGTACGTAAATGGCGAGGTGCTCTAAAGAACATCAGACAACGAGATGACAAATTTACCCTTCTTGGTTATTTGTATCAGGCTTATATGGACTGGGGCAAATACAGGTAATACTTCATAGCTCAATTTCTCTCTATAGGCTTTGCGCACGCCAGAGCTAGCCTACTGTGAAAACCTGATAGGAATATACTGGAAGGTATTTAGGGGCAAGGTCGAAGCCTAAACAAACCTGAAAATAGAGTTGGACCTTTTTGCGACGTCCCGAAATAATTAATACAGGATTCATCGTGAACGGATACCGTGAATAATTGGCTCGATATATCAGACCCAAGGTAACGCGAGACCTTTTCTAACCTTAATACGAATACCAACTTCAATGACATATGTCGTATATGTTCTTGTAGCAAAAAAGGGACCACGAAAGGTTTCGTTGGTTCCGAACTCTACTTGCATCGTATAATTAATAGCGAACTTATTTTATTTAGGCTTTCATACTCTATAAGACGAAGTCCAATTTTTACTTCTTCTTTTATAAAAAATTCTTTTAATATTTAGTAGGGATACATTGGCTAACTTTGTTACGATATGACGCGCTATTGAACAAATGTTGTGCCAACTTGGCGCAAACTCCATTACGTTTAATATTTATGTCGCATTAACTTTTCACATTACGTTTAACACGGTCAGGATCTTCCAGTCGAAAAGGTTTGTGATATCGCGTGAAGGTAAATATAGTCAATTGGAAGGAGACGAAGAGAAAGGAAAACGGGACGATAAAATTACCAAGAATAAAATATAATTGTCTCTCCTTTATTCAGAACGTTGCTTTTTCATCTGCATATATAGGGATATAAATATAGGTATATACATTTATGTAGAATCCAGACGAGACAAGTTATCCAATTGGAGTACAGTACCTATCGTGAATATTTTAAATTCAGATAGCGGTACCACGGGCGCCATCGCATATTTCATATTATACTCTCGATATCGGCTCGGTAATGTATAATCTTTTCGAAGAAACAGAAAAAAAACATTTCCATTCCCATTTTGGAATTTCAAATCTTCTCCCTGATGACCCGTTTTCTCGTCCCTTACGTACCTAATGACATTTTACCATATAAAAAGATCACAGACTATTTAACCTACACGAAGAGATTGATTATAAGATAGAAATACATTGAGAAGAAAATAAAAGAAAATTTTTCAATTAACTTCAATCGTGACTTTCCTAAGTAGATATCAATCCGACTGAACCTTATCACAAAATGATTACCGAAAATCTCCAACAGCGAAAATGAACCCGTGAAAAATCTCTTTTTTTTTAAGCATCCCAAGATCCTAACCTAACCTACAATAGTGCCGTCATAAAAAAGTAATCTGCATAAAATTTGCAAATAATTATTTAAGAAGCATTTAGCATCGTACTACGAAACGTGAGAGGTCAAAAGGTTATCTAAATTCAAAAAACCATTAAAATCCTGGTATATCTATATTTCCTATAGTAATTAAAACATCAAGACGTGGATTTTTCAATTTCAGTATCTTCAAGAAGTAAAAGGTAAAAATATATTTTTTTTTACCACAGACCAACCTCGTTGCTTGAATTCATAATCCTTCATTGCGAAAACGCGAGAACGTACCACTAAAGCCAGCCGGAGGCGAAAATCAACATACGTATAATCCCATTGAGATATGAGAGTGCTTTGTAAAGCATACAGGAGGAGGTTATGGTTGCGTTTCATTCTCTCGTTAACACGTCACCCACGTAGTTCACGATAAACAGATCCCGCACAATGTAAGCACACACAAAGTTCTAGATACAACCCAGGTAAAATCTCACATGCTGTAACGTATCCGACTTTCAACTGAAGATATATGAAACCGCGGATCCATGTTGGAAAATGCCACGGGCCATTGCTGACCTAGTGAACTCTTGCAAATACACGGCTCCCAATGTATCGGAGTCAATGGCGCTCAAGCTCGTTTCCCAGTGTGTTCACAAAAACCATCTATTTGGTACACGTTGCTATGAGTATTGCCATTGAAATTATATGGGGAAAAAACGAGGCAAAAAACAATCTCTTGTTATAACTTAGTGAACGAAAGCATAAAGTATCATATAGTATATGCATATTCAAGTTTCCTTAGAAATAGTGTAGAGGCAGAATAGGTCATTAACGAGTGATGGCTGACACTTGGAAGAGAAAAAGCTTCTGATTTTCTAAAGTTTCTTCTCTCACTTGTATATGCTCAATTTGAACAAAATAAAAGTACAGACAGTAGCTTTTATTCATTCGTGGCTTAACTAACAATTGTTCTTTTTTTATTTAAGACGTGACACGGTATGTTTACTGTCCAGTATATTCGGCGTGTAGCAAACACAATTTGAACTCACCGATGAATATCGGTTATCTGTGCACAAGGTTCATTACGTGTTTGAAATGTTATAGATTGTTAAGCATACAGGAATTAATCAAGATGCGTTTGGTTCCATTTTTTTTTAACAATGTGAAGATTGCGATGACGGCGAGTACCCACCATGCAGTCCATTGTCACAAATACATTTAATTTTTTAAAAATTAAAAGTAATTACAGAAATGCATCCGATGGAAATTCATTTAATTAATTAATAACACTGGTTGTAACATGTACATTTTCTGGGTCATGTTATTCATCGGTTATTCAAAGCGTATAAAGTTTACTGCACTCTTTGCGCGAGGACTGGGATTTTTATTCGGCTCTGATCATTTCAGGGTACGGGATACTGAAAACTATCGCGATTCACTGAATAGATATTATTTCTACATGGAACGAGGGATCAATGTAATTTACTTGGTTTAATTTTCATGCGGGACAATATTACAGGTATATATATATTTGTTGCTCAAAGTAGCATTGGATTAATTATTCGGAACGAGCGGAATATTTCATATATACCTTTGTATAGAGGCGGATATATGCAGAACGCCCGGTAACCGAGGAATAAACGAAGTGTGCTCGATGAATGAATGATCGAAAGCGTCATTAAAAGTGAGAAAGAAGACAGTAAACAAATATACGAAAAGTGCTTGTTTCCGAATGGGATCGTCATAGGTTATGTAGTCGAAGACAAGAAGGCAAAATTTGAGAAACGTGATCGAGCGTAGAAATAATGTTTTTTTTAGTAAATTGTTCATCTTACTCAACATTGATCATGACCTTACATATTAACAGATCCAACACGAATAATCATTTTTCAAACATTTCATTTTTATTATTAATATACTTCCGTAACCGTATAATATTAGTATATTTTTTTACTAAGGGATACTTTGAGGACGATTTTAATTACGAAGTGGATATTTTGAGGACAAGAGGCTGTTTTGGGGACCATCCCCAAAACATTTTCAGCATAATGGCTGTTTTGAGGACCATAAAGCGGACTGTCACATCCAATTTGTTTATATTTCTTCAATGTTAGGCATCCAGTATTTGTGATGGGCTTAGAAATGTTTCGTTAGGTTAGATTAGGTTAGAACTCCAATGCTGCAATGTCCCAAGATATTAGTTTAAAAAAAACATTAACTTGCTATTATGAACGCCCCTTAATTTTTCGTGTCCCCAAAGTATCTCTTGCTCATTTATATATATCAATCTAATATATTTCACAGGTATCTGTTCAATCATGAGTACTTTGTAATCTTTGCAAGATCGTATCGAATATATTAAAATTGTATAGTAACAAGTGGATTGCATACATCACATTATGTACTGAAACGTAACTATAGGCGCTGATCTTTGAGGACGCGTAAAATCAGCAAACGCAACTGGATATACGAAGGGGAGCGCACGGTTACGGAAATGCACGGCCACTCAGGCTGCTAAGTTGAGACGGAGAGGGTCGGAGTAAGCATCGGGTAAATAGTGCCGAAAACAAAGAGAAATTGATCGAGAACGTAACAGAGCGAATTGGAGCCCCGAAATCGAAATCCCTTCACCAATTAATAAGTTGGGAGCACTCATCGGAGCTGGTGTAGCTGATCCGTGAAGACCGAGAACTGCATCCAGGGGACGCTCAGGTGGTCACTGAATTATAGCACAACACTGCACCTTCGAAATACATGCAGAAATTCGGTAGGCTTTTCGCGAAAACTACGTAAGCAAGATCTTTCTATATCGTATAGGAAAAACAGCTCGAAAGACTATCAAGAAATAGCACGGGAGCGCGAGTGAGCTCGATCGGTTTCCCAAGACAGACTGCTTTAAAGTAATCAATTGACAATAGTCAAATTAAAGAACAAATCATTCTGATTAATCGAGATCCTTATAGCCGGTAACTATTATCCTTGGCTGCCCTTAACCGTAACAAAATTATACCTCCGCCCGCTCTACAGCTCTTTGCCACTGTCCAGCGCAGCGCCCGTATCTCACCCGGACCTCTGCCGGTCCGTGGAATCATCTCCGTCGGGTACTCTCCTCTGCCAGGTACCTCGGTACGTCTACGAATCAATCCGAGAACGTAGCTTCTGAGCAAGGTGGCGACTCGAAGGGAACCAGAAAGCAATAACGCCATCTGAGACTTATGACTAAGACAACGACTTGAAAACATGGTCGCCTCGTGACCATGAGTCGAAAAGTCAGGTCACAGTATATATTAATATTCTTATGTAAAATATAAATAATTTTTTACTACACTATACAATATGTACATACTTCAATATATTATACGACTTATATCTGTTTATAACAGACGTATGATTATAGACGCAGAATATAACTGTTTGCTCTTAGACAAAAACGAGAAAACTCTGAACTAAGCATAAAAGCCATAACCATAAAGTCCAACGTGAACAAGCGTTTCTTCGGAGGAATTTCTGAAACTTATATATAACTCAAAGCAGCCATTAATCGCCTTCCTTGAAGTAATAATTTTCCTGTGTTAGACACGCAAACATGTCTCATGAATTTTATTAGATCTATAGGATTCATTAACTTATTTTATCCAATCCCACCCCGTTATTATATGGGTTTTAAAGAAACTCATACAATCAAAACATTGATAAAAAAAACATGTCCTATAATAGCAGTAACAATTCCTATTTTTTTTCTCTCGAAAAGGCAATAGCCTTCATCCAAAAGCATGACGATCATATTTCCTCTGACGAAGAAGCATTTACTAATTATTAGAATTCATCAAAAACTTCATCAAATTTCGACAATTACCAAAACAATATTACTCGTTCGACATATGTATATTGCCCGAAGGTCAATCTTGATAAGTCTCTTGTACTTCCGTTCTGCCTCGATCGAAGTCCTCATTCGGTAAATAACAATTTTTCCGTAATGTCATACGTGGCTCAAGGCGATCATTACGTATGTCTTCCCGTGGCAGAATATGGCAACGGCACTTCTTACCAATTAACGTAAGAGACAAAAGTCCCTCGGCTAGTCCAGCACTTGACTTGCGTTAAGAGGCCGTGGAAGAGTACGGCCTACGGTAGTAGACAGAGGAACTTGAGAAGAGTGCTTAACAAAGAGATGGCCTCTATGAGACAGTATTTATTTCGTATGAAACGGTGAAAAAAGTGTGTCTAAGTTTCCCGTAATACGAAGTATATACAGGGTGTTTGAAAATTATCGGATCTACGGGGTATGGCGATTTCGAGAGGCATCGAAAATCACAAAAAAGACCTTGCTTTTGTCTGAAAACTCGTAGTTTCCTAAGGGGTGCAGGTCAAAGTTGACATCAGAACGAGACAGCAACAGAAATTGTAGGCACATACAAAATTTTATTTTTCTTCCTTTGCTTTCGTTTCTCGACATCGACAAGGCTGCATACGTTATAGACAGATCACGCGGATATCAATTGTTTCAAAGTCCGAGCGTCAAGCGCATTTGTTGAAAAATCACCGATCGATACTGGCGGAACTCCTTAGCTTCGCACTTTCTGCAGCAGTTCACGCGGAACCCGTGATTCGCTATTGTTTTTGAGCCGTCTGAACAACTCCGCAGCCCTTCGCATAATCGGAATCTAGTACTGTCCTCTTAGAGGGGACAGTACTAGATTCTGATTGGTTGGTTTCCTTACCCTTACGTCTTACGTCGTTACGTTATTTTGTGTGTGAAGAGCTTTACCGTTGTTTAAAGGCAGTTGATGAACAACAAATGCGTTCGAATGTCCCACTTGGGCATTCACGTTAAAATATGTAGAGCAGTGAATTTCGAAAAAGTGTATTTATTTCCGTACTTTTTAAATGTGGCAATTTTGGAGGATACTTCATGGGATGAAGGTGTCCGCATAATTAGACAATATTGAGCATATCGTAAATATCCATTATATTTACTATAATTGTGATATGACGTAATACTATGTCATATATCTATGTAATTCGAGGATGAAAAGATCATATAACGAAAAAGTGAAAAACATTAATTATTTAATTAAACACTGACTAAGCAATATTTAATTTTAATTTTAATCCCTTATCCATTTGGGTATTCGATAAATCTGACGACTAGGGACATTTGATAAAATGATCATTATTTCTGAATTTTCTTTCTTTTATAAACTTCAGCTATTTCGCTGATTACACGGAAAGAGTTTTCAGCTGAAATAATTACTTGGCGATAAAGGCGGCGAGCGAAAGTTAAATTAAAGAATCATGATAAATGATTGCTCAAGCATTCTAATGCGAATTTTGACTGTTCATTTATACGTATATAGATATAGATTAGATTTCAAGTAGTTTAACGTTCTAAAGAGAAAGAGCATCGATCCAATGCATATTACTGTATAAAATTGTGCGTGTGTTAATCGAAACCAAGAAGCTAGCATTGTTCTTACTCTACGTTTTCAAAGGTAAAATATCATTATAAATACTCGTATAATTTATTTCACCAGATTCATTAAGGTTTAGGAAATAGGTTTTTCGTAATACGGATGTAGACGATGTAAATGTATCCTGAAAATTCAAACATCACAAGTGCATTAGTAATTACGTACATTGGCTCTTAATTAAATCTATACATAACAAATTTACGTGTATCAATAGTTAATTATATAATTAATCAGATCGCGAAGTAGAAAAACAAAATTTCTTGTCAGATCTGTGCATTGCGTAATATAATTTTATCAGAGAATTATTATCGACCTTATCAGTATTTTTCTTATTTTTCTCTAATAAATGTAAAGCAGGTGATTGGAAGAGAAATTTGTAAAAATTTTACTTCATACGGAAATACTTATTTTAGTTATTCATGGGATTCATGATTATTACAGACATGCTAATGTAAGTGCGAATTAGGTCACTGTAACGCTAGTTATCGTTAACGAGCTCGTGAATAACTAAGGTCTCCATTTGTCAATGCAGGGCATGAAAATTGGCATTGTTTTTGTTCGAAATTTCCTGCTGGTACTACAAAATTACGAGCTATAATTCAATGATGTACTTATGCCATTAGCTTCATCGCTCTCAACAGTATTTTCTACCTAAAGCTCTTATTATCGCACTTTTTATCCAGACTCTGCTAATGGCAATTTACGTGTTAGATACGGATAAGGTACTACGAAATCTAGTTCGAGTAAATTTATAGTGATGTTTCGTAGATAAAAAGCTCAAGACTTAGCACTGAGAGCTTTATATAATCACAGGAATGATTTAGATATATCCCGGGCTTAATATGCAATTTCGAAAAATATTAGAATATAAATTAACTCATCATTTTTCGGATCCCATTTGAAACCCCATTGATCAAAATTTAATGGAGCTTTTATATTAAGAAAATAGTATTCCTATAACTATTAATCTCCACGGAGCAGCAACTTGGCCATTGTAGCACATCTGGGAACAAGTTTCGAAAACATATTGCTGCAAGGTACGTGTTATATTCCCCATTAATTCTCGGATGTAATCGATAATTTGGATTACGTATGTTCTACTCATATAGACCTGGGCAGCCTAGAGCGTTGCTAACTGTGTGACTCATTTATCTAGAACATCATAAAGCATGTTCACATAATTAGTCAAACCTTGTTCCATTAGCAAAGTTTTAGAAATTTCTGAAAAATATCCAACATATTCAAAACATCATTTTAGTCGATAACTTGGTAGATAAGGTGAGAATTCATATGCGAATAATGATGTTTTTGAAAAATTTTAAAATTTAGTAAACGCTTTTGGTTACACTGCAAGAACACCTTAGGATATACGCGTCGCAGATTATCTTTAAAATTATTGGAGCAACGCCAGAGAAAACCTTTCTCAATTTACTACAATATATTCTCTACTATCTTGTAAAATACTGTAAGGGTAAACTCAGTAGCTCAACCAGATAAAAAGCTACATAAAGTTACTTTGAAAGTAAGATGTTATGAATCTGAAGTCGACTGTTAGGTTAATAAATTATCTATATGTACAATAATTTTTCTAAAAACTTGTACGGAATTATTTAAATTCATATAAAAAATTGTTTTTCGTCAGTACTTCTGCGTTCACTTAAAAAATATTTTTGTATCGCGTATATATTAATTTGATAGTGAATTTAAGTGAATTTTTCGTGGAAATCTTCAATATATGTGTAATGATTCTCACTGCATATTAAAAATAAATGTGTATAAATTTGAAAAATAAAGCTCGGGGCGGTCTGTTTAACCGCGCAAACGTAGGAACGATAATCGATATCTCGAGCAAGAGTCAAGACGTACTTGATTTTGTACATACTGATGTGTATATATGACTTAAGAATGATTTCTTACATAAATCGTATGATTTAATTCTTTAATTGACATTCAGTAGGTTTACGTCACTATCCTTACTACCCTATTATTTTACGTAAACGTAATGTCCTACCGTTTAAATTAAACCCGAAGGTAAAATTACATAATTACGTAATACTGTATCTATACATAACCACAATAGAAACAAAACATTCTACAACCCTTCTTAATAGTAGTTACATCAGTTCCAATCTTTGCCCTAAAACGCCACGTGGGTTAATCGACCTATTGTGCAGGTTGATACAAAAGAAAAACTGCCTAATAATAAGAAATTTAATATAGAAGTTAGTTAAACCGATTTATTAATTAAAAGTAACGATAAAGAAATCTCACAACAATATAATTTAATTTAATAAACTTTTGTATCGCTCGATTCATATTTGCTAGTGATACAACGTCATATGTGGTAGATTCAAAATATCTAAAAAAAAAAGTGGTTCTAAAAATTGTGCTAGATAAGAAAAAAATGATAGCAAAATATATTTTATCTACTGTCATACAACGAGATAGCAAGTACAATTGATAGCGTCTTACAGCTGACAATCTTCATAAACCATATAATATGTGGACATATACGAAAGAATGTCCTCGTAAACTACATTTCCCAGATCACACTGCGGTGAATACTACTACCACTACTACTACTACTAAAGTCAAGGCTAGCACGGTGTAGCGAATGAATTTTCGTTAAAGCATACTGTACTTTACGTAACTTCTTGTTTATACTACAACGAACAGTAATACTACAGTGTAAGATGTACAAGTTTATGAACTACGTGATACAGAAAGTTTATGAATCGTCCCGAAGAGGAAAACTGAGAGTGAACATTTTACTATCATGTTACAATGTCCATGTTTATATATTTATTACGAAATTATGATAAATATTAACCAGGTTTTAAATAAAACTGCAGTCTTCATACTTAATCCATGCATACAAAAACGTCGGATACACTGTTTCCATGCTCGAACAGATTATGTAGGACTTCATGCCGGCACTTATTATCCGCTGAAGCTTTTACATATATTTGTTCGTGTCATTTCATATATTTCACAGATACATCATACTTACGTATGATATTTGAATGAGGATAAGGATTTGCGCTGTACCCAAGTACTTTTCCCGAGCTTTCGCGTACCAAAAATTTTATATTTCTATGTACGTATAGCACGTGAATTATTGGTTAAACCACGAGGAAAGTTTGTGTATTTTTCCCTATCCTTTTTTTCTGCTATACTATGTCAATGGATTTTTCTGCTTTCAGAGACAGCATAGACTTTGGACATAGACAACTGTGCATTTCGGAAGAACTTGACTCGCCAAACATGAGAGCCGAGGCGTACTTAAATTTGGCTAGGGCTCACGAGAGATTAGGCGCTTTGGATAGAGCATTATCCTACGCAAGACACAGGTTATATATACGATATATACATATATAATTTTCAATTAGCAAAATAATATTTTTCGTTGCTTTATATTAATCTTTAAAAAAAATGTACAAAGCTCATAACGTTAATTCCTGGTTTGCACGAAGTCTGTGAATTTATATCACGTATTCTATGGACGTATTAAGCGATTCAACTGAACAGTCGAATTTCTATACGTGAATCGTATTTGATCGAGCTTTCACTAACCGTCGCGACAAGCCAAAAGAATTTAAACGGTGAGTTCAGTTCCTTTACAGTTTGTGCAACGAATGCGACCAGTGTGCCACTGCAGGATTGGTTCACTTGACAGTGGCTAGGGTCCACTTGGAACTCGCGGGATTCTGCAAAGCTTTGGAAGCATTTCAAAGAGCTCACAAAATCGCCCAGTCCATTCAAGATCCTTCTCTGGAGCTCCAGGTGAAACTTGGACTAAATTTTAGCCGATCTCACTCTGTTCCATCCACTCGGTGCTTTTACTTTGTTTTACCCCCATTCCGAGTAACCCATATAAATCGACGCTTAACTTTTTATTTTTAACAAACGTTCATGCCAACTCGACAGAAAAATTACCCAGTTATTTTACCGTAAAAGCTCGACGAATATTTTCCTCAGGCTTGCTGATAGCAATGTAAAGAGATATATTTTAGATTATAGTACACAGTTTAAGATACATTAGAACTCGTACATACTTACACGTACAGTTATACGGCATATGGAAACTTTTATATTTCATAAAGAAAAGGTTACGAAAACATCGACAATACCTATTACGTGTAGCATCCATTACTCGTATATTCGTATATTTTATATTTATTTTATGTATTTCTTATATATATTTAATATCAAAATTACAAGTTCAGGATGCCTTGAAATTGGCCGATTGCTTGAGGGTGTATAGGTATTTTGTGACCAGTTCACAAATCAGCCCATAAACTGGAATTTTTGCGAGGTCCGACCCCGAAACAGCCACAAGTCCTTAGATTATTTGATTTATTGAAGTAATTGCCCCCGCAGTAACCCCTAGGCAAACGTATACATATATACGCTAAATTCGATATATATATAATATTTAACAATTGACTGAATGAATTGAATGCTAAGGGTGGGATGTAGAAATATCGCGGCGTTACGTTATAAAAACAAATGTTTATTGTCGCATTATGATATAAAGGAAAACCAACGGTCTGGTTCTGTGACACATGGAATTTTTTCAAAGAAACCCTCCCTTGCATCATCATCCCACCCACACAGTTTTTCCACTAGCAAAGTGTCCCGCTTGTCAAGAGCCGTTAATCCAGAACAAGCGGGAGTGTGCGTCCTTATGTGAAAGTTCCATGGATCTTTTTTCAGGTGTACGTCGGCCTTTCCGAGCTATTCTGTCGTCTGCAGGACGCCGATAAAAGTGCCATATATGCTGGGAAAGCGTATGATCTTTCAAGAAGTCTTCAGCTTGGAGACTTGAATTCGCGACATCACAGAGCAGCACTTTTGCAGATGGCCACCGCTCTGAGAAAGAAAGGCGAACTGGGCGATGCGCACGATTACTGTTCGGTAAAGTCTTTAAGTATAATTTATGTAACGTTAAAAGCTACGCTAAGTCCCAGAACAAGTAGTATCGGTTGGTTAAGGATAAATCATTGTAAGACCGGGAAGGGTTTTTTTCTTAAGAGGAAATGCCTTCACTTCCATTCTAACAATACTAAAGATCGAAGAATGGCTACGAGAAGTACTTACTAAAGTTTAGCAAACTTCAGATACCTAAACGACCGTAAGCTATTCTTTCATTGGCTCACGAATCCACGTTAAGTCGATACTTTACCTTCGTAGGAAGCGACTAGATTGTCCCTGGTGTCCGGCGACCAAGCCAGCTATGCCCGCAGTATACGCATTATGGGCGATATCTACAGAAAGAAATCGGACATAAATGTGAGTTAATACGACCTTGTTAATCTTAATTATCTCGATAGTTTCCCAAGAGTATCTCAAATTAATGATTCCCTTATCAGACGTGAAATAATCGCACGTATAACGTTACTTCGACTATCCCAAGTGCATACAGTCTACCTGCATCCTATCTGCACTTTACGCCTTACACGATGCATGTTAGTAAGTTAATAAAAATTCATAATAAATTTTAAAATTACACGTAATGAAAAAATATTAATTATACAGCCAAACGAATGTTCATTTAATTGTTGTAATATAACGCTTGATGCTAACCTATTTGTTTTAGAATTGCATCATATGTACGATTAGCCTTTAGTTGTCAACATTGACATTAATAGAATCAGGGTAGAAAGATACTAGCGTGAGATGAAGTTGGACGTATTACAGAAGGCGTTCCGGCAGTACGAAAGCGCAATGGGATCTGCTGCCGCAACTGGCGATCGTTTATGCCAAATGGAAGCTATGGATGGCGCCGCAAGGTGCCTCGAGGCACTCAGACTTCAACACAAGATATGCAATTGCAGACCACTCGAATTCAACACGAGATTGCTGGAAGTAGCGGGCTCGGTTGGCGCTAAGGTAACAGGATTAGCTTCCAAGTGCAAGGCAATGTAAATGAGTGAAAAGCGTGCTTACACTACTGTCAACCGCAGTGAAAACTTCCTGCCCACTCCTGTCTGTTTGAAGAGAACGATTTTCAGATTGTGCAACCACCAAGTACCATAGACGTGTGCGTTGAATATTTCAAGAGAATGAAATGTTCGTTTTCTGTGCTTTTTTACGAGTGAAATGTTTTTCATTTTTATGAAAATCTATAACGATATTAAATTTATAACTGAACTTTCGTATAATATACATTTTCTTTTTGATATTTTTCGCCCTTTTTTCTAGTCTAAAATACAGTACCAAATTGTACATCGGTAGTTTTTAATCGGCGATAACGATTCCTACACTCCGTTCTATTCTAAAGACTGATTTGACATGGTATCACAGTTCCAATAATATGCGAGTCACGTAGTGGGGAGCTGATAGGATTATGCGCCGTATAAGTATGTTTCGAACAAGCCATATTGCAAAGTTGAGATTTACAGGTCACAGAGCCCATACATAAAACATAACCCGTGACGTTTCCTATGCGGTATAAAATTCGCAGCGTTATTCCCGTTCAGCGTGAACGAATCGTCACGGTTACTTGCTCGAATTAATATCGGAAGTGTAAAAACTGGGTCGTAACATTTCTGAATAATATAAATATTAAGTCATCCTTAAGATTCAAATTAGCACTTACTCGTTTTTTCTTCCTTGTCTCAGCTTCTAGTGAGAACCGTCAGATCGCGACTGTCACGAATTTACGGCTCTTTGGGCGACGAGGAGCAAAGACAGCATCACGAGCGACTCGCTGCTGCAATGGAGGAAGATTTGGAATTACGTTGTGGTGGCTGCGGCAAACCTTTTGGCCTGGAAGCTGATTCCCTGGAGGCTCTACCGTGCTCTCATATATTACACGCCAGGTGAAGGAAAATAAACTGCGATCCTATCTACTTTTCAATGGTAGCTAGGTTATGTCCAAAGTTGTTTACATATATTTTGAAACAAATCATTATTTAGTATAATTATTCTAGTTTCTGATATAACGAACATTATATCATTTTCAGCTGTGCGTACGATATACTTAAACGACGGGATAAGAAGAAAAAACGACTATGTCCCGACTGTCACAAGTCAGTCAGCTCACGACTTTATCTACACTGTGAGGATCCACATGGTATTAATGCACTGAATCACAGCTCGCTCAGTCTGGCATCGTTAAGGGCGAGCAGTTTGGCCACCCTGGAGGATTGTCACGCGACAAGCAGCGTATAAAACTCGTACCGAGATGCTCTCTTAATTTTCTTATGATCTCGCATCCAACGCAAAGAGGATTGGCGATGCTGATTAAATAAACGAGGTAGCAATAGTAGAAGGAACAGTAGTATTAAAATGAGAATGGTAGGAACGGAAGTTTGCGTTCCGAATGTATGATAAAAACAATAGTTCCTTCTCAGTACGTAGTTGAATGCAGAATATTAGTTGATCATTGAACAAGTAAACGTCATTACGGTGCACCCTCTCGGTAACAGAAACACTTTCTTTCTAATTCTTTATATGTATATTCCTCTTCGTTATATATGTCTTCTTTCGTGTTTGATAGATTATTTGGAAATTGTTGATTTTTAATATAAATAAGAAAATTGTAATTTTTAAATAACTCTTACAGGGACGTCATGTTTAAATGACAATGAATTTAAAAAAAAAACTACCAGACGGTGTTATATGACATACAAAATGGTAAAGTCATTGGGATAGTCATGACGTCAAAGACACCAAGAAATGTCTTGATAAAAATTAATTCTTCTTTCAACTTCACATTCGATCCTGTTGAATTTTAATGTTGGTGCGCACAACTATGTTTAATTATTAATTTTCACAAGTATTCACGGATTCGCTGGCGAATGAGTATTTGTTATATAATGAACAGCCGCGGGTTTAAGATCTGTCGAATTTAGCTAACGAACGAACAAATGCCAAATGGCTTCGAAATAACTTCCTATTTTCCTAGACACGCAAATGCAATTTATCGGCCAAATATAAGTGCCAATCACAGAGTCGAAGTGTTGCAGTGATCGCATGCGATAAATCTGCTCGATCCTCTCGAAAGTTATGACGAATGGACGCCGAGTGTTCAGGACATCAAAATCGGTTTCTTTCGTGTTCTATAGAATATCTAGTATTATAATAAATTTCATACCTACAGACGAAACGGTTCGATTCAACATTTTGCACGGCATGTTGTACATGCAATATTATTACATGAGTTATGTTTCAATTCAACATAAGGTAACAATAATCAGGCTGTGCATACAGCATTTAAAAAAAAAAAATCTAATACACTTTAATAATATGTTCTTTGGATTTTGCTAAATGTTGAATCGCTCCTCAATTCACGATCCTCAAATTCGTCCAGTTTTTTACATAAATGAAGACACTATAACTATATTTGTAATAGAACTTTCAAAAATTATTGGATACACATCCAACTTTATTAGACTTATTATTTTCATCATTCCCGATAGATATATGTATATACGTATCTACGTCGTTAAAAAGTAAATTACGATTTGTAGTTGCAAAATCATATGCTAAAACTCAAATTCACACACACAACAGGCACGCGCGCGTACAAACAACACAAACTCACTCGAGCAAAAACTGTACGTCTCTCTGTTACTCAATATTCTAACTCAAAGTCGCTATGACTGTGTATGTGCCAAATGATAAAGGTTAAATAAATGCTGAGAGAACCTAAATTTTTGGACCAATGTGAGATGCGCGTCGCAACTGACAGATGGTTATTTTGGAATGTTCATATTCGTGGCAATGATATCTACGATACCGCAATTTCATCGTAGGTTCATCATTCATTTGCCGAATTATTTAACTATTGCTAGGCACTACAGGTATACATAAAAAATAATTATAGTCGTTATTAAACCTCGGTACGGGGGTAAAAGCGTAGAAAAGTTCTAAAAGAGCTCGCAGACGCGTACGTAAAAGAATAAAATAATTTTAAAAAAGATTCGAATTTCTTGATGTTATTCAAACCTTTAGAGTGACGAGACGCTATCGTATATTTGCGATTGGGCCCGATTAACAAGATCAAGAAATAACAATGCCAGATTGTCCCCGTGTTCACGGTGATATCGCGTTTATCGTAAATTACGTTCACTTTTAGACTTTCATAATTATTTGTAATGAGAAACGATGTACCCCTTTAGTGCTCGTAATTTTATCTAGAAATGACAAGCGAATCAAAAAGGAAACTGTCAAACGTCACGAGGATTGCGTATTCCAATTTGTGAGAAAAGAAATGCCAATTGAATATGTGAGGCTATGGAAGGCCATTTTGTAAAAGGAAATCAAAGTACTTCGAAGTGGCTAAGATAAGGGATAATAGTGAGAGAATAATTGAAAAAATTGATAGATATATTGCAATACTTCCTTGGATGATTATATCCTCGTAAATTAATGCCGCGCACGTATGTAAACCATTAAAGAATTTATACACGTGCATACGCATGTACACTGCCGCAAGAACTTATCACTCTCCCGATTACTTTGACAATCCAAATTGATCCAAACGTACACTTCAAACTGTCTGTCATAGAGATGTTTGTGTCCTTTAAGATCGCCAAGAATTTACATTGGCAATGTGAAACTTGTATAAAATCAGCTCGTGACATTGTTCTAGATGATACACGTTGCGACGGTACTAGTTTAAATTTTCATGCAACGACTCCTACTGTAAATTAGTTAATGTAACTTTAAAAAAAAAACGAATTAAAAGTTAGACAAACGTTGTAGCGAACGCGCGATGACGTAAAGAAACTCGAAAAGTTAATTGCAAGAGTCTCTTTGGCAAAATGACATAATTTTTGCGTATACATTCCGTATTGATCAAAGTGACATCGTATCCGAGGAGTAACAGCCTTGACGCAATTCGAAGTGCAAACTTGGCAGTTTCTTTACTTCCCTTGAGCGTTCGGCAAACTGATTAAAGTGCGCGGCCTTTGCGACAAAGTGATGTATGCACAATCAACCAGGATGACGTAAAAAAGAAGAAATCAAGATTACACTCGTAGGAAATATGGTTAAAGTGCACAACAAAAATGTTACGATTTTAAGTACTATGATAAAAGAGAAAACTGATTAAACTGTTAACGGTGTAACGAACAAGATTATTCACCCACTTGCACAACGTTATTGTAAACACAATAAGCTAATAAAGTGATAAAATATGTCGTTGTATTTGTTGTAGGCCCGAGAAATAGACGAGTACCTCAAATGCAAATTAATGTTAATAATAAAGGATAACACTGTTTTATGAATTGTGCCTACATTATTGATAAGCCATTTCACCATTTACACCTCTATTAATATGGCCTTAATTTTACGTTTGCATAGTGAATTTCTTATATCTATTTAGTTCTACATACCTAAGACTAAATTATAAGTTATTTGTGAATTTATTTATTTTTATATAATCTTATTATAAGTTTTGTTTGTGTCATTCAAGTAAAAGAAATGGCAATTTTATTGTACTGGTCTAGGTTGTAGAGTGAAGATGTCATCTTTCCGTAATATGGCGCAACTAGTTGAGCAAATAAGTTAGTAATATATTATCGCTTCTTCCTATAATGTTTTTATTTTTATTTCCTGCATTTTTTTTTCGCGTTAATTAAAACATGACATTTTTAGCGGTAATTTTACGAGATTATACAACATTTATTAGAATTTATTTATGTACCAAATATGAATCATGTTGACTAAACAATAATGAAATTATTTGTTATCTACTATTTATTATGTATAGATAATGCTTCACTGAATATATATTTATTGGATAATAGTGATATACATAGTTTAGCAGTCACCATTTATTTAAAGAGTTTAGGACAATTTTTATGAATTATTTTGTATAATGTGTTTGTATTGTAATATTTATGAAAATGGCGGTAATTAGACGAGTGAATGTTTAATACATTTTAGGTCCGTTTATGTAAGCATTTTCACGTGCTGCGAAACATTACAGGTGTGTTCGAAAATTGAGAAATCGCGCAATTATCTAGAGTATTTAACGTTAAAATAAATGGCTGTTTGTGAATAGACCTTAAGGTTGATTGCTTGGCGACACCTGGTGATTCTTTTGGAAAAGTTTTGTACAACGGCCGCCATGACAGCTGATGTCTTTCCCAGCACTTGACGTTTAGTCGGAACATGACATTTTGCAGATCTAATTTTGACAAATGGCAGACTCTTTTTTCGGATTTGATACAACACTTACTGTAAGTAAATCTTACCATTATCCATTCACGATGGTTATGTGTTACTCTATTGAAAATTGAACGAGATATAGCTAAATATATGGATTTAAGTTTTCTGCGGAACAACCGCGTCGCGGTACAGCATGGATCGAAAATATTTGCTTACACTATGAAAAATATTTTTCATTATTTAAACAAAACACAAATAATAGGCATTAGAAACTATCTATTGTTGCAATATCTCATACAGAACCCTTAAATTACTGTAGAATTTCAGTATTCATTCTATTTAGAAGCACACCTAATCTACTATATTGAAATTCTATCTGGCCACGAATATACTAGACATAACCTAACTTTTTCATTACCCCCGCCCATCAAAGGTCAATAACATTAAAAAGTTTTTATCATGAAATTGTATAGAAACTCTCAATAACGTTACGCTTAAGACGCAGTAAGCATTATCTCTGTTTGTCTTATATTGTAACAGTTTTATGTGAAATAGAAAGATGATTAGACTATATTTCTGTAATTTCTTCTTGCTTCTTTCTTCCTCCACTTTCTCTTTTGAAAAATATATATATGTACTCGTTTATATAAAAATGTGTATAACATGAGCAATATATTTTCAATAATAATATTTGTATTTAACTTGCGTTATTGTATAAATTCATATATATCCTAAAAAAAGCATGATACAAACATGTATTTTAAGACGCATAATATATTCTTAATCTTTAAATATAATAGTACCTGTATTAGTTTATGATATATACATGTTGTGCTATAGGCTTTTCTTATATTGTATAATATTATTTGGTTATTAAACATTTAAATCTTCTGTTACTTAATTTTCATTTTATGTAAATAAACATTTCCATGCAAATACATACAATGTACAACTTTGTATTCGTATCAATTCTAGAATATGCACATAGACAGAAGGCTAAGTAAACCACTTTCGACAATATCAGAAAGTAATACTTGTGTTTTTGTGAAATAGTTACTGACATTTTAAACCTACTAGCTAATATCTAATATGTTATAATCAACCAATATTTCTGTAATAATGATATGATGATGACGATGGTGATGATAATAATAAAGTAATCTAAGCATAGTCTTTATGATCAACATTTTGTTATGTAGCAGGGTAGTGGCTTAGAAGATGCTATAGATGGCCCACCTGAAGAAGAAGATCTTGGTGAAGAAGAAGAATATGATGCGTTAAATGATGAAACATTTGGCTCAGATGCAGCAATTGGAGATTGGGAACAAGATCATGAAAAATTAGCTCAATTAACGGAATCTAAGCGACATCATCAAAATTTACCTCTAAACAAGGTATAACTGTTTCTGTCAGCATAAACGTATATGACTATTTACATTTATAAATGAAATAGAGTTTATTATAGAAGCAAATTTTTTATTTCTCTTGTAGAATGGAGTTGACGTGGACATTGAAGAAAGTTTGTCACACTTGGTATTGGACGAGAAAGATGGTACTACACCAAGGCCTGGTGTATGGGACAGTCCCTCCAGTCTTCCTTTATCCCAGTCCCAGCCACCGCGTCCTTTGTCAACCGCCTTAAAAAATGCCCGCACGGTTGAAGAGCTAGAACGTGGACTTATGGCAAATAGACCTCCTCCAGGACTCAGTAAATTACCACATCATCCATCGCAGCAACAATCGGGCGGGCCATTTCTATTTGATCCATTACCGCTGAATGAACAACTTCAGATCAATGGCATACCGCCACCACGGTTTCCCCCTGGACTGGGCTTACCTGGACCACATCCTGTTGTTATACCTCCCAATGTGCGACTACCGCACCCACAGTTCATGCAGAATCCCAGACTGATATCCAGTGAGTATCACGCTAATTGATACTATCATACCTGACTACATTTAATACAATGGAAATGTCTAAAACGTTATTCATTGTTGTCGCACTCAATTATGATTAATAAAAGCAATAAAATATCATGTCATCTAACGTGAGATTTTACGAATTCCTCTTAAATGCTACTCGTTTCTCAGATCAAGGTGCAAACATGCTGAGATTCCATATGCCCCCACATTTAATGATGCAGCATGGAAATCAGAGACAGCCACATCATGGCTCATTCAATTTTCCGGTAAGTTATACCGATAGTGCAAAACCTTACGATAGTGAAATTGAGCTATATTTTTTACATAATAATGGTTTCATAGCAACCGCCTCATCCGAACATGGGGCCACCACCATTTTTGCGCCCCGAACATCCGATGATGACACCATTTTCTAACAATCAAATGAATCATCAACAACACTCTGGTCCTCACTCGGGAAACCAGCGAAATCAAAACAACAGATCGTTTCATTCCAACGAGCAGCAAGGAAATCCTCAACCGTTTTTCAAAAATAATCAATATCCACACCAAAATCAGCGAAACAATCAGCGATATCATCATCATCAGCATCATCTCCAAGGAATGAACGGCATTGGTGGTTCTGGAGAATACGATGAATATGCTGGTCTAATGAGTAGTCGTGAGAAGCAGTGGTTGATTAATATTCAATTATTGCAGCTTAACACTAACCAACCATATATTGATGATTACTATTACACCGTGTTTTGCGATAGACAAAATAAGCAAAATGAAAATCAAGACCAGAAAGACAGGAAGCATCACAATAACAATGGATACCACAGAGATTCAAGGTAATGGACCAATTAAATAATTATACAAATTATTTTTCTATGATTGACACTTTAAATATGTATTCTTTAACATCATAACGCGACAATTTTATAGGACTTTGCATTTGACTTTTATTTTTATTGTATTAGGGACAGAGAACAGCCTCAGCACGTTCTCACTAAAGTTGTGTATACGCCAACGCAGTTTGAAAATTCCTTGGGAAAACTACAATGCGGTAGTGTAACAGCACCACGCAAGATAATCGATATGGATGTTGTTCCGAACAATGATCCTCAACAAGTCCCTCCCCCACAACAAAAGGACACAAAAAAGACCCGTCAACTACTACTAGAGATCGAAAGGGTGCTTATATAATTTTCATTTATTTTATCTGAAATTCCTTAATCGCTCATTTAGCACTAATCATTTATATATTGTTCGAGTGGAGGAACAAACGATTCTGGAGTGGAGGAACAAACGTGATAATAGGCATACGTCACTTTTTAGCTGTACACGTTGCAATTGAAACTGGAGGACATGAGTAATCCCCTGGCTTTATTAGCCGAACAGCAACAACAGCAGCAGCAACAACCAGAAGGTGAAACTGAAGTAAAGCCACCCAAGAAAACGAAACCAGAATTAATTAGTACATTGCTAGCGTCTCTTCTTCAACTGCTTCGGGATGACAAGTTGGCTAGCATGCTCAGCATTCGTAAAGGAAAGGTAAATATCATTCGATACTGTTTATTTTATAAAACGTTAAAATAATTTGTATTTGGCTGATATAAATATTATTTTCATATAGACATTACTACTTCGGTTTTTACCATACCTAAGTGTGACAGAAAGCTCAAATCAGTTAAGTGAACTGTGGAGCACAATCCTTCGCGGATTGGCAGTAATTGGCCGTAGAGATGCTCACTTGCTGTCCAACTTTTATCCAGAATTTCGTAGATGGATACAAACCATAACGGATTTCTCAGTACTACAACGTCTGGCCCGAGGACTCACCGAATCTGTTAATCAACCTACAAAAAACAACAGTTTGGCTTTTGCCCTCACTAACAAGGTACGTCGCATTTTCGAATAAAATCGAACTTTATAGATAACAAAAAATCTATATACGTTTCTGTATCACTCAGCAACTTTTAATCCACAAACCCGCACACTGCACAATATAAGTATGCAAGATATTGATATGACCTCTTTTTTTTCTATTTTATCTATACAGTTTGGTGTATCCGTAATCGCTTCGGTTCTCGAGCAAGCCGAAGCACTATTTCCTGTAGAAGACTCCGTAGCGTGTGAATGGTCAACATTCGTTGTCTCTATCGTGGAAAGAATCGGTGCAACACCGCCAAGTGTTGCACCCTGTCATCCAATAGCTGCAAACACGCTTAATCAGCATTTGAACCGGATTCGCAGTTTAAAAATGGAAAGGTACGCGCCGCTAGAACTACTGTTAACCGACGCGAATCCCTTGCGATAGTTTGAGACTTCAAAGTGTGTCATTTGTCTCCAAGTTTGTTTCGATCTTGTTTCTTAGGGAAAGGAAAAGGGAACGAATGCTATGCAATAATGTGAATTTATAGATAAAACTTTAAGTGCCCATGGCGTCCGATTGATCCTTAATCGTAATACATAGATAAGCGTGCTGGATACCAAAGCTTTTACAGTGTTCATTAAACTACAGTTCGTTGAGAAGTACGAATCGGTATAAAATTTTGGAAAATCGCTTTATCGCTGATTGATTATTACCGCGTGTCATATCAGCGGCATCGTGATCAAACGGAATTGAATTGTTTCTCGTGAAGATTTCCTTGTTATTGTACGTATTTCTAAGAATTTTAAATAAGTACACGAGTACGTTGGTGTAGAAAAGTCACGAAGCATTAGACATGTGATAAACTCTACGGTCTAATACTGATATATAATTTTAAAAATAAAACATTAAACACATGGGTATGGCGTTACCAATGAGATACAGAATTTTCGTTTGATTTCTAATAACGAGCTGATAAGATTTATCAGACAACGCAATTAATGCGGTCATTAGTTAATTACCGTGTATAAAATTGGTATCTAGCACTCTTAACTGCACGTCCCTTCTTTCTCTTTTTCCTAATTCCCCGATGATTTTGTACTGTACAAATTCTAGATTATGTATCAATGAGATTTAATTTCAAAACAGAGTAAGACGATCATCGGTGTATATGTTTTCATCTTTGATAATATAAAAGAGTATCCTAAAAGCATACAATAGGCCTTAACATTCTTTCCCCATTACACCTTCCTACGAATTTCAAGAAACCCATTAGATTACTTACGATAGCGATAATAGATCAGTTTCATTCACTGCCTCTGTTTTGTCGATAATTGAACTTCTTTGATATAATACAGTAAGGTTGTAGCTGAGGTTAATGTTGATACGGCTTTTCTAGGTTTTCTATTCGAAATGATATTTCGTCACAATTGTAGTGTTATCCTATAATGTTAATGTAATATATGGAAAGTTAGGCACGCATTAGATTTGGCTCGAAAGTAATGAATTCAATAATCGCAAAAAGACTTAATGAAGTAATTAAGATCTTACTGAATTAGTTATCGTAAGTCGTACGTTTCTATCATTGTACTTTTTTTTAATTACGAGAAAGAAAATTTTTTACATGTGTAGGCCGCACGATTCGCGATGGAAGATACGAGATTTTGTTAAGCCAGAATCGTAACGTTTCCGGCTAAAATAATGAAGTTGGTGTTGCTATAATATTTGTTGTATCGAAGATGCAAGAAAAGCAAAACAGCAGTACGAAATACGAATCAGTTTTTCTTCATTCGTATTAATTTTCTTAATTACCAGTAATTTCATATTTGCTTATTGCTGCATGCATATATCGGCAATCTACAATAATAGTACACTTTCTTTTGCATCGATCATGAAAAAGTATACATTTAATACTAGAGCTAACGATTAATTAATCAATATGATTTAATTAAAGTATCAATCGAAAGGATTTTTTATTATGATTAGATTAAAGCGGTAATGACGTTGACTGTGCTGTAATTATAATAATCATGAAAGCCCTGTCAGATTAAGTAGCATTTCATGGGCAAATTTGAAACGGAATAATATTTATATTCTCTCTCATAATAGAAACTATATTCATATTCTCAGGCGATTACCTTACTTTTACCACTTTTGTCTCATCTAGAGGGAACAACGTAAACTTGTCACTTTATCATGTATCACAAAGTTCATAAGAATCGCTTCTCCACGTGCTATCATGGCTATTAACATGAAATTTACACGTATCACTAGTTCATTACACAATTGAGTTTATTGCTTTGAATATTATTACAATATTATTGTATGTATGTCTAGTTTGTATATAGTTTGGTACCGACAGTCCATTAACGGATTTACATATTTTGTGAGTAGACGCATTTTTAAATTTGATTTCGCAAGAAGGATATGCATAACGTCCAATCCAAAGTTAAAAGAAAAAAATAAACGAAGCTAATTAATGCACTTCATATTTAAAAATAATTGTATCGATCGCTCGACCGTTATTACAAAGACAAACCACAAAGACGCTATGCACTTGCGAATTAAAATTAAATGATTATTGCGAATGCGTCGATTAATAATTCGATTAAAGTATAGTTTTATCCGTATAATATAATACTCATGGATTCATACGCGACTAGCGTGAACAACAGAGCTTTTGGTGCCAGCGGCCATTTTATAATTAAATAATTGAACATCGCTTCTTCATCGGTATAAAGTATAAGAACGCTGGAGAATATTATAATTTTAATGTGCTATCATTAGCAGCAAGGCATGTTTTTTCTTTGCTTTGATCAGTGCGAGCGAAAGGAAATAATAATGCCGGGCTCCAGCGATTTCTCTCTTGTTGTCTCTGTGAAAAGATGTTCCGTAATTATTGATCTGACAGGTGCTTTATTGCAGTGCGCCTGAATCCGTGTAAAAATTCTGCGGATTCTAACGATTATGATTTCGATGATTTATCGAGAGTCGCCGTTAACTCGTAACCACGTAGTAAAACCAAAAAATGAAATAGTGTTCGGATGATTCCAGATTGCAATGTAAAAGTTAGAGAGACAAATTCAAAATACGAAACATATTCATTGGACTAACGTGACGTTGTGGGACCGTGATCATTTTTACCACGTGACTGATATATATATATATAGTGCGTGACGTATAATTAGAATTTATGATTCGTGCACTATCGATAACCTCACAAACGATATCAGAACGAAAGACTACGAGACTACGCGAAGTAGTAGATATTATAAGTTATTAAGCTGTATGGAATTAAAATGTAAGTCCTAACTGGCTCATTGGGTTACGCTATATTCTTCTTACAATGTAACCGGGCAAGTGAACACAGCGTTGAATAAGATATTAGAAGAAAGAAGTAAAAAAGCGATACTTAAATTTTATCATTTTTGAGGTGTATGTAGAATCATGTTATCTTTCATAATTTTGTATGCTAATCAGTTTTCATCTTGTATATTCGTTAACCATGTTCATACGCGGTTGGGACTTACATTTCCAATAGATAGCAGCTTTTTAAGCAGAGAATGAAAAAAAAGAAAATATTGCAATGCTTAGACCGAAAAAACTTATGTAAAATCACACCTGGACAAGTTTGCCTCGCATGTGCCTCGACCGTATCTATTTGTTAATATGTTTCAAAATAATAGACGGTTGTTGGGCGACTAACGATATCAAATGATTAAATGTTGATTCATTGTGCGACTTTTCCATTTATGGTTATTGTCATACATTAGAATATTATAATAAATGAATAGATACGATAACACTGTATACGGACAATGCCTGTTACGTTTGGCTATTGCTGTAACAGCGTGTACATTAAAATGCGTATCTACGCGTGGCGCGAAATCTTTCACGTTAGATGTTCGAAGAGAATGAGAAAAAAGAAAATACTTGAATAACACAATGTTGGATATCACTTTGATAAATCGGGCGAACTTTATCGCGTGCTAGTTGGAAAATTTTTTAAAGCTGTATAATAGACAAATACGAAAAGCACTCTAAGGATCTTGCTTAGCACGAGAAATATTAGCACATTAGACACATTGTCTAAACAGCTTTTGACATCGTATATGAAATCGATATACAAAAACTAATTCATAATCACACACGGAAAACAAAAATATGAAAAGCAAAATTTCCTTTGTTAATTCTTGTATCATTTTAATTATTAACGATAAGAATACGTTTATTTAAACTAAAAAGCGGACACGAGAGAAATCAGTACGGTTAAATAATGTTAATTTAAAGATTCGTTTGATTTTTTTTTTTCCTTTTCAAAGAATTCAGATGAACTCGTATGCAAAATAAGAGTATGAAGAAAAGTCTTAACTAATGTCGTCGAAAATGGTTGAATTGAATCATTAAGTTTAACTTTAATTAGATTAGAGATATATTTTTATAGAGATACTACGTTTATTACGTTTAAATCTAGCGAAGATAACAAAGTTCTAAGATTAAGGGGTAATCATTTATTTTACAAGTCTTAGGTACATGGCAAAGTTTACTGTATATCTGCCACGTACTTTGGCGATACAAGATCGTACGGAAAACGAACTAAGGAAAGAAAAAAAAAAAAAAAAAAAAAAAAAAAAAAAAAAAAAAAAAAAAAAAAAAAAAAAAAAAAAACGATTGTAAATTTACGATGCTGCTGATAGAGATAACTATAGCCGTTGTGTATGTACATAATTGATCTAATTTGAATTCAAAGACGTAAATAAATGTTTTGCATCCTAGAGCATCGTCATCCTTACTCGCTTTATGTACATCTATCAATCTCCTCGCATTCACAGTCACTTTCTCTTCTTTTTTATATCTCCTTTTATTCCTATCTTGTTACTTTGCCAATGGCAGCCCATATTTTTCTTTGGGATACTTTCTTTAAACTTCACATAATTATAGTGATAACAATTTTTAAGGAATTTTGTTTTTTTTTCACATGACCCAACACTATTGGAACGCTGAATTACGTTTAGGTATATCAGTTTTATACAAATGACCGTATAAAATTGTACGACTCGATAATTGTATGCAATAAATTAATTACTTTGAAGAGTATGGTAAAAGTACTTCGTTGTGGTAACTATATTTGTAATATGGTTGTATATACGTTATAATACAGTTGTATTCAAACTGGAAAGTAAGAAGACTTCTTTAATATAATAAATACAGTAACATAACATATCGTAGCAGACTTGTTATTACATACTGTTATAAAAATCAAATCGCCTTTTGGCACGATATACTGCATGCAAGTAAAATCTATTAGAAGTAGGATACTTTTGGGTTGTCCCCTGTTAAAAATTCTTACAAGTACCACAAGTTCTTGTCCCATTTTCTTGTAGGGAGCTATGCAATTTTAATATCTATATATATATATGATTCTACAAGAGAATGAAATAAGGAACTTGTAGCAATTTTTTATAGGGTCGTATTTGAAAATACAGACGATATATGGCATTTCTACACCTATTAAGTTGCATAACTGTTAAACTGTATAACAGTCAATTTTTGTGCTGGGAAATTTCTATGACATTTTCGTCAATAAATTTTCTTGGACCTTTTACACGAGAGAAATACTCGACATAATAAAAGACGCATCGTCTTCTTCCAGTTCCCGTATCTTCGCCACGTCAAAAACGTACTACAAATTATTAATTTAATTAGATTATCTTTTATTATCTATCACTATGCTACGTCTGGGTAACAAACAGGCCGCAAACAGCATAAGCCAAAGTTACTGTGTGTCGATTTTGTTTCGGTTATTCATTACTTTAGGTAGTCAAGACAAAATTACTATTACCGTACTTTTATTGAAGATCAAAGTTAAAGGAGGTTAGTATAAGATGAATTTCAGCATAGAGCTATATAACTCCTAAAGTTTTGATATGAAAAATTAATTCCAAGAATTATTAGAACATTATTGTCAAGCTACAAAAAGTTATATTTGAACAAGAAGGTGACTCCCAAAAATCATTAACCAGGAGCACGAAACTTATTTTAAGTAGGAGGCAGAAACTTTTCATAAATAGATTTTATAAGGTATTAGTTAAGCGACTACGGAAATTCGTAACTAATTGATAACTTCATTATTTCTTAATTCATCCATGTCAGAGATATACGTTTTATCATACGTTCCCGCAGTCAGGAATTGTCTTAAGTTTAAAAAGTATCGTAACAATATCAAGTATAACACGTTATGTTGAAGAAGATTAGTTAGACAGTCTTCAAATTACTATTTGTTGTGTTCTGACTATTGTTATACCGTGTAAAGTATGGACAACTTAACAGTGCATATTGATAAACTCTATCATATGTACAAAATCATCAATACCACTTATTAGGCGCAATAAGAAAACTGTATAAAATCTTCGAATTTTGATAGTCCTGTGATAACCTAAATACTAGTACACAGTAACAATGGAAATTCGAATGTACCGTCACAGAGTAAGACAAAAGTCAATGCCCCTGATATGATGATTGACACAAAGCCCTATGCCCAATTTCGTTATTTTAAATTTTCTCTTATCAAATCTAATAGCTTTGCAATTAGCTTCAAGCGCATTTATAAACATGCATTTACATTTTTTTTCTCTCCTTTTTTATTTGAATTACGATTGTGTTAATCTGTGGTACATTCAACTTAAGTAGACTTTCTCGAATAGTCCGGACGAGTTTCACAATTAGACGAAAATGTGATGTGGTTTATAGAATAAAATTTCGTTACGGTTTTCCTGAATACAAAAGAGTATATATTAATAATGACATGAAAACGAGCTATTACTTTCTTAATGTAATAAAAAAACTACGATATATGTCGCCTGAAGTTTTTCAAGGTAGAAGTATATCATATTTACTGTATTTTAACAGGAGTATATTATAGTGACTTTTAACTGTAACAAGGATTAATATATACTATCTTCAAACTTCTAAAATAGCTTTCGTAATTAGTAGTCATTTAATGTTTAATACTTAAATTATTATAAACATACACAAAGACAATACCCTGTTTCATATATTTTTTTTCAAAATGATTCTTAGATACAGTGTCCAATGGCACCATGTTAATGACATACCGTCCTGCAGTTATCGAAAGAAAAACCAAATTGCTTAAAAGTATCATTCATACGAATGTCATTTTGATTCACGTCATTAAACAGCTCAGGTTTTAACAGAAACATCTGAAATTATAGAATCTTCTTTGAAATAATTATAACAGCTATATAATATAATTGCATAAATTAGTATGAACAAAAATTCTTTCTTAATAAATAGTGAATCATCATTTTTCATTGAACAAAAATAAGTATAATAATATTTTCGTGTTCCTCTTTTAGCGGGAGAAAAGATAATTTATTCACTGTTTGATCGGGTATTGATATTAAATCCTCATTCGCAATATTGCGTACGCTAAGACTAATCCGCCATGCCACAATGAAACGAAACAGCCACAACATACTTCTTAAGTTTTCAACGTTAAATTAGAAAAATGAAACACAACACATTCTGCAGCAATCATGAAAACAACAATGCATATATATATATATAACAATGATATGTGCTTTAAAATATATTTTTCAATCAATAAGTTGAATAAAATGTTTCTATAAACTGTGTATAATATTCATAAATACGATGATACTGGGATAATTAGAATTTTCAATTTGCCTAACGATTGTACCGACCGTCATGATTCTTTAAAACGAGCTAGAATAACTGCTGTATATATGGAATTTTTCAAACGCCCAAGTAACAATATAACTAAAAACAACAAAAGCAGTTATACAAACTTATGACGTCCACCCGTGAAACTCGACCGTATTATCATTTAATTATGCAAACTATGTAAAATGATTCACCTATACAGATTTTGTTATGTTATTGTATCGTTTTTCCATTATCACAGATTGTTTTCGGTGGCAGGCCTGCGTGCAAGCTCAGGCCCCAAAGGCCCACGGTGGACTAGTATACGCCAATAGGATCCTAAAAGATCCCTTCTTCCTATGCAATACAAGCCAACATCACGTCTCCAGCGTTGGGAAGAGTCTTGTCAGTACAAAATAGGCCACATCATAATTACTCCAATAACCCGTATGCGCTGTTACTGTACTAAGATAAGTGCGGCCCAGGCCCACTGCCCTTAATACATAGTCCAGCCGTTGTTCCAATTCTGAATAACGAGAAGAGTCGTTCAGATAATAATGTCTATGTTAATATGTTCCATCTGCATTACAGTATAGATATCCTGCTTAAAGAAATAACCTTGATCTGGACGAATTGGTGGAGTCGTATCCGGCGTTGGAGAAGTTGCACCATCCTTGCCATTCCAACCAGCTCTTACGAGACCCCAAAGACTCCATCCTTTATCTGCATTGCGATTCGGTAGATCAATCGGGCTGTCGTCTCCCCCGTCATTAACCTTTTGTTCATTGTCGTTTTCTTGATTGTTTAAGAACATACGTTAAATATTCATTTGTCAGAAAATCTAGATAACGTTCTGGATTCTCAGAATGAATCGCGTGAAACAATTTCATTGAAATAGCGGAGTACCCAACAAGCGTAAGTGATAGAACGTTTAATATTTAGTCTTTTTAAATAAAAATTGACTTACCTGATGGCGGAAGACTCTGTTCTACATTATTCATTGGCGGAGGTTGCTCTAACTGTTGTTCATCAACTCCACCATATGATGGTATCAGTATGGGTTCAATTTTACTATAGCCTCTTTCCAGCAGTGGCTCCATCCGATAAGCCACTGGGTCTGACCAGTGAAATATATTATAAAACCTTTTACATAGATTTTGTGGCATCACGTCTACTCTATTGGACGGTGTACGTGTACGTAATGCTAGGAACACTGACAGGGGAGAACCCAAACAAAATAGGTTCTCAATCTATAAATGAAAAAGGATACATATGCCATTATGAAAAATGTAATATCTACTGGATACTATACTATCTTCAACATATTAGTACTCATTCTACAAACCAGATATATTATATACTTTGAAGATAATGTAAAACGAAGAATCATTAATATTATTAAGTATTGGAATATTTAACACTACAATCTATATGTTCGTCACTATAGCATATATTACATTACAAATACAAGATTAAATACTTACAGGGAATTGTAAGCCTTCAGGGGAAACATCTGGTACTGCTGGTGATGGAGGTCTTTGATCAAGACCCGTCCATCCCGTAACAATATCATAAACAATAACGCAACCTAAAGAATGGGCAAGGATTGAAACCTTTCCTTTCCATCCGGGATGTCGACTGGCGAACATAAAATAAAGCCGATTCAATTCCTTCTGTAAACCTGCCCGGACTTCTCCACCGTACAAAGGACTAGTATAGTACAGAATATCCATTGCAGATGTATTTAAAAGACCTCGAATATTCATCACACTACATGGTGTAATAGCTTCCACGATATCTAAGAAATAATTATAAGCATTAAGCATCATTTGTCAACAAAAATTCAAATGTTATTTATACTGTACCTCCATCAAGTTTCAAAGATGATCTCCACTCCACAGGAAAAAACTCAACTCGATGAGTTGAATTTGGGAAGTATTTTTTCTTTAACCAGTCTACACAATCCCTGAACCTGTTATTACAATAAGAATTTGGATGTGAAAAATTAAGTAAAATGCAATTTGAATTATCGTACTCCAAAGGCAATATGAAATCTCCAATAAACAGACATATCCCCGTATATCCAATGTTACATATAAAGTGCATGCTATTAGTAATTTCCCACTTATGAAAATGAATGAGAAATTACAACTGACATGCACGTTACACGTAATACTGTTTGTTGGGAATATAATGAGTCTTACATTACTTTGAACATCGATTTAAATAATTTACAAATATATGAAATACAAAGACCTTGAAAACAGACGGTCTGTTTGATTGTAAACTTACGATTATTGTTACCAATATTTTATTGCCTTTGGATGGTACGTAAGGATGTAAAGACACACACGAGGATGTATTACGTATGATTTTTCCTGTATCTCTCTTCTGACCAATTCCGTGAACGACAAACACTAAATGATCTATATCATGCGGCTTATCTTCCATTACGGCACGATTCTTATATCCTCTTCTTAAACGATAGCCTGTTGCTGAAAATAAAAAAGTATTGCGTTAGTATAATAAACTACTAAAACGTGCGAATATAAATATTTATATGTCGGTGTGTATGTGTGTGTGCATTTGTATTGTTATTTTTTCCTGTTGAATTCCTTTCTAATGGCATTTACATTATTATATATACCATAATTTAAATACTCACTTTTCGTAAAGCCCAATTTGAACGTTACACTCCGCATTAATTTACTAGAAGTATTTTCACTGTAGAGAGCAACATCGTTGATTGCATACCAATCAACATGAAATTCAGGAAAGTGCTCTGTGTGGATTACTACAATAAAAATTATTAAATCATTAAAAAAACACTTTACTGTGAACATAATGTGAACTTTTCGCTGCGAGGAAAGGTAGGCATACAAATTATACTTTTTTCTAATAATTGTTGTTAAGGTGCAGCACTAAATTGAAGACTACATCTACCTTTGCACCACATTTACGTTGATTAACATGTTTAGCAGGGTAAGTAATTTGAAGATAAATAAATATTTCTGTATGTATACGTTTGTTATCTAAATATGAGATATAATATATATAATTTCGCACACCTTTATAGGAATGTGATGGCGTGTCAACCTCCGTGATGGAATTCGATTGGGTCTGTGACTGTTCCTGAAACAGCCTAAGATGAACTTCTTCTATAACTTTAGAGTGTTCTGCTTCTAATGGCATCCATCTTCCATCATAGTACCAAGTACCTCTAGTTATTTTCCATTCTTCACCTTAAAAAATATGAGATTCATTAAAATATTATTAAAATTGAATTAATATTACATTAAATATGATAAATATTTGCTAGGGGGAAGTAATAAATAAATGCTTTCATACTTTGTCTCTTTTTTCAAAATAATTTTTACATGTAAAAGTAATGATATTTTTAATGTACAAATAATAAAAAATTATATATCTGAATGGTACTAGGTTTCAACAGACATTCGTAAATTAATCGGTCTACAATATTTTACAGATATTGAAGTGAACTTCACATTGAACTGATAATCAACTCATAATTAACAAATACAGGTCCATCACTCGCAAATTAGAAGGAACACCTTGAAAATTCTAGTCAAAGAATTAGAAAGCAACACGTAGACCAGCTTATAATGATTACTACTAAACATATTTAACTTTCTTTCTTTGTGATAATATTATATAAATATAACTACATACAATATAATACCTTGCCAATATATGGAAACACATCTCATTTTATCCAATTCAACATCATATATTCCTCCTCTAACGACAATTGGTTCTGAAGGTATTTCACTATCTGTATCCATCTCATTACACTTTGAACTGTTTCTGCGTCTCCAGGCATGTTCTATTCTTAGACTGTCATATCCACAGAATTCTTCCCACCTTTTGTCTTCACCATCTTTATAAAACCAACGTATCTCCTCTGGAGTTAAAGGTTCCGCAAATGCAGGAATATTAATTGCTTCTTCTGCCACTTCTTCAGCTGGTTCTTCTATACCATTTTCCTCACATAATTCTTCAGTTGCATCTTTAAAAATTTTTTAAATAATAAATTATCAAATTAACTCCTGATTCAATTTAATTGCGTTATACAAAAATATTTAAAATTTGCAATTCATAAAAGAGACACATCTGCGTTTTACTAACTAATATATAGAAAAAAATTTTATCTAAATTTTATCTAAAAAAAAATTTTAAAGCGCGCTATTAGCACTAAAAGCGAGTTGTGAATACGGGCTAAAGTATATTATGTGGATTGAATGATATCCTATCAATTCTAATTACTTTTACTCCATTTAAGCAATGCACTAACATAAAATAACTGAAGCACCTAACCTATATTCCTATAAAATATATAACATACACATTAAACATACATGGCATTATGACAAAAAAATTAAGGGCGATCATACCTTCTGCAGACTCTGTTTCTAAAGGCATTTCACTGAACGGATCAACGTTCGACATAACTTTGCTGGACATTGTAGTAACTACTAGAAACTGTCAAAAACACACAAATTATCTGTGGAAGTTCGCAGAATAATACCACAATCGTCACAGTACTCTGACTCACTGAACTTAAAGAATTTCTTTGAGATTCCTCCAAACAAAAAATATTGTTAACATAAATCTAATTAATATTTCACACCATCTCACTCCCTATTTGACAGCTTGAAATGTCCAAAGTACAATTAAAACGATCAGGACTACCCGTTCGACCGTTTCGCTTATAACCAATAAATAAAACAACGAGATGTTCTTAGCACCAATCAAACTGTAATATTCAATTACAGATACGTGTGACACTCACTCACTTCCTATCTTGGTAATTTTTTCACAACCAATATCTATTGTCGTCAAATCTTATCTGAAAAAGCTATTATTTCTTCAGAATCATTCATTCCCCGCCACTATACTTACTATCTTATATAACAAGTGTATTGTGTACAATCCCCACTAAAAGTATTGGGTCACGAACGATGTCAAAACGTCTCTAGAATGCAAAAAAATATAAAATCCAATGAATTATATTCAAGTACATTTAAAGAAAGATATACATACATATCAAGTTTTAATTAAGCTTTCATTCTTTTAAACGTGCTGACAAGTTCAAGCAGGAAAAGTAAAATAATTATTTCTATCATAGAGGAACATGGACTTTGATAAGTTTCAACATTCATGAGTGCAGTCAAAAAAAAATCATACTATTATATAATCTTCAAATTTCGATCACTCGAAAATAATACATAGTACGAATGAGCGAAAACCATAATGGCTATAAGTGTAAACGATTACAGGTATTCTACATGCTGTTGTAATTAACTGCGGTATGTACCGTGGAAAACCGAGACGTATGTATAACCATTAGAATCCGAAAGTATATCGAAGGACATGCGCTAGATCGGTATGTAAAATGGTGCGATTAATGTTACAGAAAAAAGTTACAGACACAAACATATACTATATATAAATTTGACGCCTATATATGTATATTGTGTGTGACAGGCATACAATATATTATATTATATTTATATATATGTAAAACAGTATCTTTGAAAGTTCTCGTAATCGGATGAGTCATTGACTACATTTACACGACGGTCTTAACCCGGTTAGCTAATCTAAAGGAATTGACGAATCCCAAATATTCCTTACAAAAAAAAATCGATGATTTGTCTATTCCTTATCACTCGAAAACAGTCTTAATCTTTTGTAGTCACACTAAATAAAGTTATGTAGATATATACATTTAATATACGAATATATCCCCAAGTGCTCTGTTGCTATACGCAAAGCCCGTTTCATCTTACAAGGGGACCGTCAGGTAGCTGGGTCGTGGATTTGTTCAAACTTATAGTACATGAAGGTCAGCACTCGAATAACAAGTTGTCAAAGCTATTGGACCAGATAGCCAGGGATTCTCGAAGAAATCGACTTTTAAAATATTTAAAATATTCCAAATGGTTTATATGGTTTGATCTTTAATGAAATCCCAAGCAGCCAGGCATGGTTCAACGGGTAAAACTCAAATTAAGGGATTGCTGGTTCGAGTCTCCCTGCGTGCATGAACTTTTCTTTTTCAAATAACTTTTTCAATAATTCTACACATATGTATTTGAGGTAAGCATATTTGTAAGGAATAAACTTTTAGGTACAGAAATTGAAAACGTTGGCTAGGAAGTTTAACATTTTTTAATTTTATCAGTTTACAGAGTAATCAAACGCTAAAATAATGTTTCACTCTAATGTTGTTTAATTATTTTTTACTTTACGTAGCTAACTGTATCTCTCTAGTCTTGACCCGGGGTTTCACAAGAACCTGGATCGTACTCGTCCGGAACAACTGGATTAAACAACAACTTCCAATCGTACTGGATTGGAACAACCGTTACGATCAACAGATGCCCTATCTTCTGTACCCTTTGTAGAATTCTCCCGAATTCTTTTGTGCGTATGCAGCAGTGCCCCGCAGACAGTTACTACGAAATGGTGAGACAACCTAAAAGTCTGAAACCCCAGCTCAAGAGTAGGGAGATACAATTAGCTACGTAAGGTAGAAAATAATTAAACAACATTAGAGTGAAACATTATTTTAGCGTTTGATTACTCTGTAAACTGATAAAATTAACAAAATTTTAAACTTCCTACTCAACGTTTTTAATTTCTGTACCCAAATGTTCATTCCTTACAAATATTCTTAGCTGAAATATGTGTACAATTATTTAAAAAACTATTTGAAAAAAAAAGTTCATGCACGCGGCGAGAGTCGAACCATCGATCTCGCGTTCGCTAAACTTGAGCTTTAACCGTTAACCCACCTTTTACTTGACAGTTTGTTAACGATCAAACTATATACATCACTTGGAATATTTTAAATATTTTAAAAATCGATTTCTTCGAGAATGCCTGACTATCTGGCCCAATAGCTTTGACAACTGGTTATTCGAATGGTGACCTTCACGTAAGTACTATAAGTTTGAATAAAATCCACGATCCGGCTACCTGACGGTCCCCTTGCACTGAATATTTGTGGCAGCGACACAAGGAAGATGTGTGCTCTTCGGCTTTGTTAATTATCTTTCCCTTATCCAAAAAGATCTTAGATATTATCAGTATTGAAAAATAACTAATAATTCATATTCCTATGAATTGAGTGGGGACAGATATATGTCATGACATGCTCTGAAAACTTAAGTCATGGTCTACTGATTTACTCTAAAATTTCTTATCTATTTCAAAAGACTATTGACATATAATGATGTTAAATATTTGCACGTCTACTCACGTGCCCATATAGTTATATTACATTGTTTATATGACTCATACAAATTCTTAATCTCGTTATTGTAGTTACAATTGATTATTGAGATTATATTCGTATTTTCTGTAACTTAAATAGAATAAACCATGGTTTATTACAATTAATATTACATATGAAGTGTAAAAGATCAGAACTATGTGTGCATTCCGAATAAAGTACACCTTGGGGTCAATTATGTAACTCAAATGTAGTGAAAATACGGAAAGTGAATAGCTGTTAACCAATCGTGTGTTAGGTTCAAAAGAAGACATGCACAACGATTGGCTAACAGCTATTCACTTTTAGCATTATTATTACATTTGAGTTACACAATCGAACCTCTTGTCTACTTCCACCATATGGTCCATGCTATATGTCGATGATGTCCCCCATTGGGAATACAGCCATAAGGGTTCTGTCCCATGTATGTATAGAAAACAGAACAGTATGGGCTCATTCAGACCGAAAGCAGCGGGAAGCGGGAAGCGAGCAGCGGAATCTTGGCCGCAAAACTACATTTTCTGCCTTTTTATATTAGGTAACCGTATAAAAGCATTAAGAAATAAGTTATTTACCTTAATTACGTATATAGAATCAAGTATACTACATTGAAAATAATAATACATAATTTTTTTTAAAACATGACTTCATTACTAAGCAGATTCCAATGCTTGGACTGCGATTTTGGAAAGTTGATCAACGTTCAACTTTCCGTAGCAGCGACATAGCAAAAAGATGATGGCAACACTACTTCACGTCATAGTTCATGTTTGAAATAAATTTTGAATTCGGCATCAGACGAAATGTGTATAGCCCGTGGTATAACCTCGTTCTATGTTACATGCATGTAGTCTACTTTCTTACAATTTAACATCACGACCAATCACAATATGCCTATGCGTATGTACGTTGGAAAGAGGTACCATTCTATTCTAAAGTTTCAAGCTGCTTGCTGCTTGCTTCTCGCTTCCCGCTGCTTTCGGTCTGAATGAGCCCTAATGCGTTCCTAGTCACATTCGTCCAAAGCAAAGCCGTTTATACGTAAGTCCACTAGAGTGCGTGTGTTATGCTACATTATTGACAGCTAACCTTTAAATTATTAAAGCGTTGAAAATTAAGGAAGGAATACAGAATAATTGAAAGATACGTAGAAATTAATTGAAGAATTTAATTGAAATTTTATTATGTATATTCGGTTGTAAAAATTTCTGAATGTTCTTTTATGTTCTGTCAATTTCCCATTGCTTCTTATTAGTAAGTCGCATAAGTGGCATGAAATTATAATACAAAAACTGTTAATTTTTTAGATGTATGCTTGGGATTTAGAAGAAAACAGTAATATTCTTCTTGCAGTAACTTTACTTTTATAACTGTGAACGAGAAGTCGTATATGGGGAGTTCGACCAATAAATAGGTTGATAAAGCAGCAAGGCGAATATTGGAATTTATTTCTTGAAATGAAGGAACATGACAAAGAACAGTTCTTCCGATATACACGTATGGATGCACAGATGTTTGATCAGTTGTTATCTATGGTAAAAGTACGACTCAGAAATCGGTATTAATATAATACCTTACTATAAGATCACACATAACATTTGAAATAAAGTCACATGAGCAAAGCTGTTTGAATTCTTAACCATAAAAAGTGCGAAGTTTAGATGAGAAACTACTGAGAGAACGCGCGCGCGTAGACGCAAAACTAGAAAATGGGCCAAACGCTGCGCTCGAACGCACGTCTGACCAGTGATGAGTAGGGAGATGCACAACGCTACGGTTTTAGGCGATACTAAAAACATAGCGCTTAATCGTAGCGGCGAGTCCGGGAATAGAATTTTGTGATCATCGCCTCCGTCGATAATGCATATCCCGTCGTAGCCGAGCTGAACGTGATCACGAACGGGTAGCCTGGCGGGCTGAGATTCTCCACAACTTACAACTGATTCCCCGAGCAACCCTTAGAAAGAGGCCGCTTATCAGATATTGCCTAAATCTTTTTTTTTTGTAATCTTAAATTCAAATATACAGTGTTAGCACGATAAGATTTACTAAGACAAAAGCCAGCACCTTATGCCTGCCTGCGTTAAGGAGTGCAGCGATGCGGTGCTAGCTTCCATAATTATTTAACAATAGATCCAAGCGGACCTATGGTCCCAACATTGAGTACTTGAGAGATCTATTTCGGAACTGTTTGAAGCACAATCTGAAAACAACACTGAAAGCCAGCTCCTTATGCATACCTGCACTGAAGCGTATGGTGCGACTAGTATCCTTAATAGGTATTTTAACGATGTTACGTAGCAGAACTATTGTTAAAACCTACCAGGAACTATAGAACTCCTCGAGAACCATTGAAAAAGCCTATTGTTGAAACATTTTTAAGAGATTTTAAAAAAGTGCGATGCTGGAGCTGACACCCGTGTAGCATCTCAATATTTGAACAATGTTTCAACAATAAGCTTTTTTAAGAGTTATAGGGGAGTTTTATAGTTCCTGATAGGTTTTAACAATAGTTCTGCTACGCAATACCGTTAAAATGAGTACTTTCCAAAAATTGAGGTGGCAGTCGTAGTCCATTTTTATCTAAAATACCATTAGGGCCACTGGGACGTTAATTAAG